GCTGAGTTAAAATACTCACTGAACGTTTATGATAAATATAATGTTGTCCTCTTGCTTAACAAAACATCACGCCCTGAAGACGTATTGGAGAGTGAAGGTATAGTTCCACGCATTCATAATCTTGGCAGTAGATGGAGATGAGTGATCATCTTCGTAACTGATGAAGAAAGCAGTCTTCTTGGATTTGGCACCGTGTATATGTGGTGTTAACCGACGTTTCGGAGGAACGTATCGCCTCCATCTTCAGGGTAGAAGGAAAAATATAAGAAATCCGCAAGCGAAGAGACCGTGAGAACCGGTAAAAGCAACTGCTGGAGGTGATACGTTCCTCCGAAACGTCGGTTAACACCACATATACACGGTGCCAAATCCCAGAAGACTGCTTTCTTCATAGTCACCGCCGTGAAAGCCTCAAGTCTTACATCTTCGTAACTCTTCCGCCCCTCCCCCCCCAAAGAAACTAAAAAAGAAATATAATACCACTTCTTGTCCGTCAGATCACAGGGATCCACCTTACTTCCTGATTATGTCCAAAGGAACGTACATTTCTGAAAGACGGGTATTAGTCGTTATGCAAGTATTTTAGGCAACTTGATCGTGTCGTGATTTCGTTGTGGTGTAAATTTGATTAGTCAATTAATATTTGTCTTGCGTGTTTATGGTGTACCTGTAGCATGCCTATGACGTAACAATGCAGGAGAAGATTGCTGAACTCAGCTTCCCGCCCTGAAGCACGTGTGGCTGTATGTGCGAAGTTCAGGCCAGTATCTTTACATTAGTTTGCCTTGGGCAGAATGTGCAACGTGTCAGTGTTGGGAATCATGTTCCAAGCTCCTCGCTGCGAACCTCGCCGTCTTCTGTAGTCACGGCTTATTGATTATCAGCAGGGCCCGGATTTTGATGACCTGAAAATATTCAAAAATGACCTATAAAATGACCGAAAAGATCCAGAAAAATGACCTAAAGGAGAAAAGAAAGAACACTTCGCTTCCATGTTATTCACATTTCAGAAAATATATGAAGAAAGAATCCCTAAAATTGCCAAAAATGACAAGAAATACCCTTAAAAGTCCAAAAATTTACCAAAAAATTGCCCCCAAAATGAAAAAATTGCCTTAAACCTAAAAATGACAAAAAATTACCTATAAAATTTACATTTCTGTAACCAGCAGCTCATATCCGGGATTTATATATTTAAGAGCTTCGCATAGGATACAAGGAAAAAAAAAAAGATGACATATCATCAAAATCAGGGCCCTGCTTATCAGTTTTGCTTAGGGAGTTTCGGGTTCCTGTCTAGGCCCAGAGGCAGTTCTTATTTAGCTTCTTCCTGTTTTACTCTTCCCCGCCGGCTAACTAGAGGAACAGTGCCTTAAAACAAGCCGTGACCGCCCCACCTATGTCATGAGTTCATCAATCACATTCTCCCATTTCACACCGTACTGAGATGTCTGCGTTTGAGAAAGATTGGGTAAGTATGCTAATAAGCATCCAGAAAATGCTAGAATAGCGTCTCAAAATCAAGTAATATCCTTTACCTTCGAAGTCATTGCTGATCCATTATTCACAGTCACTCCGACGTAACCCGTTAGTTCATAAAGTGTCATTAAATATTTTGTCAGTTTTAGAGTGACTATAGATGGGTTTTGGATTGATGATGGGAATTATTGAACTCTTACAGAACGTAACTATAAATAAGTACGACAGTTTCACTGAGTTACGCACTCAGAAGATCCCTGTAACTACAGCACACATGAAGTCTTCTCAGTCTTCCCTAGCCGTTGCTCGGTAGCGGCTTTCAGCGGCGGACGTTCCCCTTACTCTGGGTTTCAGAACTGTCCCCAGCCTCAGCTACAGCAGCTCTCGACTGACCTGACCGACTAACTGACTGACTCTCACTAACTGTCCTGCTTATAACTTCTTGTCACGGACCACACAGAAAACACCGTTCCTCTGTTGCTGTATTCAATTTCTGTCGTGCAGACATGCTTGTTTGCGAAGCCGTTACTCAGAAACGACTGTTATATAGCTAATTCTTTCGCCGTCGTTGCCTAGCAACAGCTACATGCCACATTGCCCCCCTCAAGGCTGTTACTGAAATGGATCATAGAAAAATAGGGTGTAAGAATGTGCACTTAATTACTATGGCTTTGAATAGAATTCAGTGGAGGCTTCTTATGAATTATAATAATGAACCTTCGTTTCTTTAGGAGTAACTCCTCCGTGGAGTTGTAAGATTAATGTGTTAAAATGGAAACAGTAGGATGAGGTTAGCTAGAGGTTATCCAGAGTTCGTGGATCTGAGTGTATCTAGAAACGGAAGGTTTAGTGGGGTTTTTGACCTGATCTTGACTGGAACCCTTGCTAATTAGAGACTGACTCTGCAATTCTATTACGTAATACTCCACGACATTTCGAATGCAAGACCGCGTCAAAACTACCGCCACTGTCTTTTGTAGGTAAGTGTAGGTCGATTCACCTGCCTTTCCTGACATCTCGAACATTGAGACTGTGGGTTTAATTTCCCTCGGAACATGGATTAGTTCCACGTATTTCTGTGTTTGTGCCGATGAAGTCCCTACTTTCCGTCGGCCCTTCTTCCAAGGACTGTTGCTGATGTGTTGCAAAAATAGAGCAGAACAATAGAAGATCGACTGAGAAGTAGAGACTGTGGGAGACGAATAACGTCATTAAGCGTTCAGAGCAGAAACAGATTCTCTGTTAAGAAAGCAGTCTTCTGGGATGTGACGCCGTGTAAATATTGTGTTAACCGACGTTTCGGAGGAAACGTTGTTTGTATTTTCCAACAGACTTTTCCAAGTTTTCATTCAGAGCCGGAAAATGTGATAGAATTCTGTGTCTGCATCAGGAGGAGATTTGGTTGGCAGACTCTGGAGCTGAATGCTTGTAGGGCTGTCAAACAGTCGCATGAATGACTTCATTCATCAATCCACAGTCTCTTCCAAAACAGTTCCTCCACTTAATGCTATCTAGAGCTTTCTCCTTCAAATGAGAATATCCTCTTCTGTCCCCAAGGTCATCCAGCATCTTCTTACTTGTGTTTACTTTTTTCTCTGTTGCTAGTGGGGTGGGACGAAGTCCCTTGTACTGCGGCCACTTCTGGCCTGTTGTACCAGCCCCAGATGATAGGTGAGGGTGATTGTGGAGCAATTAGTGGAATGAAGATTGGCAGGGGAAACCGAAGTACTCGGAGAAAACCTGCCCCAGCGCCATTTTGTCCACCACAAATCCCACTTGACCACACCCGGGATCGAACCAGGGCCGCCGCGGTGGGAAGCCACCGACTAACCGCTTGAACTATGGCGCAGCCTTGTGTTTACATTTACCTATAATTATGTCAGCTACTCCTTGACACAAGGAGCTTAAACATGCCAAGATGCTAATTTAATCACGACTCATGTGACACACGTTGAGCAAGACGATTAAGCAGTAAAGGAATAGGGTTTCACGCGATATCCCCATGCGAAGTCATGCAACATACGCTCAGAACCGTTCTCCGTCTGAACGCTGTGGCAGACTGCTAGAATCTCATGTCTCTCCTCCGCCCAACATACACACGCTTAAGAAACTCCTATGCTTTCGTGGGAGCTGAAAGTACAGCAATACCTCGCATAGTCCTCGTAATCGGTTCCGCCAATATCCCGGACTGTTTGAAACCGGACTAATCGAGGAACTAAATACATACAAAAATGATAATTGGTTCAAAAAATATCCGTTTTTGCAATAAATAAAACGCGATTAACAAATTCTAATGTCTTTATTAGAAATAATTTTAAAAAATTAATGTTTTTCGAAATTAATTTTTTATTCTCTAAAAGTTGTAATATTGATGTCTGCACATTTTTCTTCTTTGGCCTTTTCTCTTCATACATTTCTTTGTAGCAACGAATTGCACTGTTTTTCGTTCGGCGAATTGTAAGGCTACGTTCAATATTGGGATCAACTTCCATAATATGCTCTGACAAGGTTTCACCCATTCCAGTAATTTTTTATAGTTGTTCAGCTGTTAATTCTCGTGCAGGCACTTCAACACAGTCGTCGTTGTCTAACTTGTCCTCCCGTTCTTCATAAGCCCGTTGTTCATCTATGTTAATAAGTGTTTCATTATCTAGTTAATTAGTGTTCGATTTGATGCTCTCAGTTACGTTGACGGAATCTAACTCATTGAAACCAAGTTGCTGTCCAATTTCCACTGTGTTATTAGTGACTTCAGCAAAATGAGTTTCAAAACCAATGAAATCATTTGCACAATGTGGCATGATATGTTTCCATACTGCCCCCATATTGCCCCTGAAGATCGAGGCAGCAGGTTACCCGAAACCTTTTTAACGATCTACCCAGACTACACGGCATCACATTACAAAAGATAATAATCCTAATGTAAGACCTTTCTTCGGTGGATATATGTATACGAAGTTTAACCCTATCTGTCAGTCTGTCTGTCTGTGGCCCTTGTAGACCCTTGCCGCTTTTTCAGTTTCTTAATCTGTACACAGTCAGTAGGACTCCTTGGATGGGGGATCAGCCCATCACAAAAGAAGTTTAACCCTACTCCAACAAAATTACAAAATATATAAAATATTTTTGCCTGGTTATGATTAATTAGAATGTAAAGGTGTCATTACGGGTAAGAACAACTCATGACAAAGGCAATTCCATGACTTAAAGAACTGAATTTTAATTTTCCATTCATCATTCCATTTCTATCACCCCTTCGCTGATTAAAGTGTATATTATTATTACAAAAATGTTAGAATTGTTACCCTGTTGTAATATTTTCAGGCCAGGAAAACTGTAATTAAATGATCTGAAGGAATATGCTCATCATAATGGGAAACCTTCCATTTCACTTGGTGTATCCCTTCCTATATTGCCTCCCTCCACATCATACAAGCTAAGAAGGCTTTCTCCTAGACCACAACTTATTAAACCTGAGACTCAGTGTTAATTACCTTCCAGGTGTAGCAGCTAGGTGCCTGGGAACACAATGGCCAAGACAGAGGTGTCTGTTATAAAATTGGTGTTGGGTGCAGGCCTCATTGTATTCTCATGGATGATGGCAGGGGTTCAGGCTGAACTTTACACATGTCTAGCAGATATGGAAGAGCTGATGGAAACTGAAGCTCTTCTTATGGGCACTCTAGAAGGTTATATTCAAGCACAGGAAGAAAAGTTGCACGTGTTGAGAAGGTTAGTATACATAACCCTCTTTCCAGTTCTTTTTAGCAACATGCACATGTCTGAAAGACATACATACTCTTCATTTTCATAAGGAAATGTGTCTGGGTTTTAACTGCATCGTTACACTTCTTATGTGTAAAATTGATTACTCAGTATGAATTATATTGGAAATCTGTGAAATATGATTTTTAAAAGCTAATTAAGTGGAAAAGGTAAGATTCTTTGGTGTTCTAATTCAGTAAAATAGTAACTTTTTGCTTCCTGCTGTGATGTTTTCAGTTTTCTACCACAGACATAGTTGAGGTGTTATAACAGTATATGCAGTTTCCAAGATGGTTAAAGCAATTTTGAAATACTGGGGTATCATTTTCTGATGTGATTCAATCCTCATTCCCAATCTGTCATTCAATCACACGAGCAGACTTTAATTCCTTAATTTGAGTATTATTTCTCCTCTAAAGTTTTAGCCAGTATGTAGTGTGATACAAGAGAAGCGACTGTACTTGAGGAAAGCTCAGGTATTTCTCCAAGTTCATAATAAACATATTTGAAAAGGAGTAAAATTTCACATCTTTCTTTTATACAAAAGTAAAATAATATTGCTAATATTGTTCTCTTTTTTTCATTCATGAGTGCAGTAGTTATGTACATTCGCATATAGTGCTTTGAAAATGTCTGACCAGTTCTACTTATAGTATGAATAAATATGAAGATAACAGAATACACTAAGAAGCTATACCCTCTTCTTGCAATTGAGAACCATGTGACAGTATAGTTTGTATTATAGGAATTGTGCATATTTTGCAAGGGAAATTAGGACCCTAATAAAATTACATGTATTTTCCTACCAAGGTATGAGTGCCTCTGTTTTGTTGATGCTCACTTGGTGAAGACTGTGGGTACGAAGAAAGATTTATGCAGTCAAACAATGGAAACAATACAAACATATTGCCATACCTCTCCTGAAAGTAACTCTGGTATCATTTAACAGCTTGTCATCATCCAAGTCTCTTGAACTGCTGATTTTGTTAGATGCATTGTCTGTTGCACTGCTGTTACAGTGAGAGCTTGTACCAACCCCATTATCAGATTTCTCATCGTTAATTCCTGTTCCTGTATTCACAATTACATTTTCATTTGTTTCCTCCATTGATCAGTTTCTGTTCCACTATTTTTCTTCAGTTCTTTTCACATGATTAAAAGTTTTTATCAGGTCCTCACATGATTTTGCACAATTTTTTTCCATACAATTTCTTTTAGGGCCATTAAATAAATTGTGGAAACATTTCTTGTTGTAGTTTTATGTTTTAGCACATTCCTCATTAGCTCTGTTCTGTTCAAGACACAGTGGTGTGGAGGAAATTTTAACACAGTAAAATCTATCCTGGAAAATTTTTCCCATAGAATAAGTAAGTTGAGTTTTGTCAAATCTCACAGTATGCAGTTCATTTTTTAATTTTTTTTTTGTTGATTGTGGATCAGTGGCAATTATATTATTTTGGAATTGCACCAGAATAACATCCTTACAGGAACAATGTATGGGAGGTTTATTTCTTGTGCTTTGTGATAAGGTGCATCTTCACTTTCAACTGTATTACAAAGTGGCGTATTGAAGATGTGATTTTCTTCCAAACACTTCTCATAATTGGTGCTGTTCATATCATTGTGATAGTCTTCCTGCTTTGATTTTGAATCATACATGATGTCTGCCCAACCTTTGAACCCCATCTCTTTCCTGTGCCTGAACAATTGTGCCTTGCACTATTGTTTATCATTATACCCAGAACTGTATCATGCTAGTAACACAATTTCACTGTGTAATGGATTTGAACCTAAATCTCATCTGTATATATCTTTGGCACTTTATGATTGTTTTATAGATCATAGATCATCAAGGATCATTTAGGTATTTCTTTTAAGCATAGTGCTTAATCCTTTTCAGCATGATTTCTGTAAACATTGTTCCCTTTTGACCAATTTGGTTACCTGGAGTAACACTCTTTTATACTCAGTACACAAGGTCAAACTGATTCAGTTTATTGCTATTTAAGTGATTCTTTTGACCTGGGTCCTCATTCTTTGCTTCTCTGTAAATTTGGCAATTTTTACTTTGTCTTAGTTATTTGTTTGTATTAATTGGGTTCATATCTATTTGACCAATAGAAACATGCCTTAGTTCATATCTTTGGCACCATTTCTTCTTCTTATGCTGTGAAATCTTATGTTACATGGGGATCTACTTCAGAGCCCTATTTCTTTAATATGCGTGTTAATGATATTTGTGGATCCATTCATAATTCATGATATTGAGATGTGTTGTGTAGTATCACAAGCACTGAGGATTGAAAGCAGTTGCAGTGTGATATAGACACTGTACAGAGTTGGTGTTTGAATAATGGTGAGAATCTAAATACTGGTAAAACCTGTGATTTCCTGAAGTCATTAAAACTAACAGTATTAATTTAATTTAAAGTATTTTACAAATTATTAGCACACTCCCAGTGTGCTACAATATCACAGGATCTTGTTAGGCTGAGCTTTACTTTCACAGTCATGTTGATTACATTTCCTCACAAGGCTTAAAAATGTTGGGTTTCATTCATAGTATTACAGTTTCCTTTTCTACTGTCAGTAGTTTTATCATTTTGCATGAGAACTATAATTGTATCTAAACTTGAACATGTTTCTGTCATGGAGATCTCCCTCGCATTTATTGATTCTTTGAAACTTAAAGAAATTTTAAAAAAAATTTGCAGGCATATACTATAGCAGATTTTTTATTACCATTTGCAATAATGGATATGTTGACATATTAGATTGAATCTTTCAGCACTTCAGTCCAGGCAGTCGTTCCTTGATGATTTATTTCTCATTAGTGTTTTTAAAAGCAAATTAAGTTGTTCATCCATTCTTGATGATAGTGTGAGCACCTACTAGGTCTGTCAGAGACTTCAACTTTCAGTGTTCACCGTCACTTAAAGGTTAGTCCCTGAGAGAGGTATGTTTCTGCAGCAGATATTGTCTGCAGGTACACTGGCATTGTTCCTTCATTAGCTGATATGAAATCTATTAATAACAGTTGTAATAATATTATTTGCCCCCCCCCCCCAATGTTTTTAATGTTGTTTAGTTTTTAGTATTGTATTCTGTATGTATTCTCTGTTCTTCACTGTCTGTGTCTGTTCACATCTTCTTTACTAATGTATTTTTCTTCCTGCAATGCTTGCCTGTAATTTGCTTTTAATTGTCAGACTCTTTAATAAGAGAACTGAAATGAATCTAATTGAACTGTTAGATCTGAACAGTCTGTGAAGACATGTATTTTTATAACTACTTATTGCAGTTTCTTGAATGGTTAAAGCAGAGAGAACTGTGTTTCAGGCATGCTGCAGATTATGCAAGAGAACACGAGGAAGCTAGTCAAGATGTTCAAGGTTATTTATCAAATCCCATTAATGCATACTTGCTGGTAAAACGGCTCACTACTGACTGGAAAGAGGTGGAAGCACAAATGGTAGATGATGTTGGCAAAGGTACTGTACACAAAGCTATCGTAATTTGAACTAAGCATTACAAACAGTTCTTTCATGTGTGCTGTGTGAGCATGCCATGTTTAAACAAAGAATTGCAAACAGTTCCTTAATAATGGTCTGCTGCTGAAATTAAAATGTGTGTGTTGAACTTGATCATGCACACACACTTTCTTTCCTGTTTCTCCTCCCCTCTTCCTCCCACACTTGCATATGTGCCCACACATTAAAATTGTTCTTCTTCCTCTCAGTAATAGTTTGTAGAACTGTTCAGATTCATCTCATTGTTTCCAAAGTTTGCCAGTGACGCCTTTCCCTCATGAACAGGATTCTCAATATCTTTTAATGCTCTGCCTTGGATGTTCCATGTAACTCATTATGTCTCTTAATGGCAAATATATGAGTACATAAATCTTCTCCAATATCACTCTTTTCATCCTGCCCCAATAACAAATTTATGAGTATCACTATGTATGTAAATTTGCTGTAACATTATCCCCTCCAAATTAATGTATCTTTTAAAACTTTCGTTTTTGCATATTATATTTTACTTTTACCTTTAATCTCAATATAAAAATACTTTCAGAAATCTCATTTGAGCTTGTTTCTTCTGTTCATTTTGGTAGTTTCCCCTATTACTTGAATTTGTTGCACTCAGTAATCATCACTAAGTTCGGTTACATTTGAAGACTGAATTTATAAGTTATAGAACTGGACAAAACAGGGTCTATGGTTGTAGATGAATATACCGTATGCCATGTTAATTAGCGCTCGGAAGATGAACAGAACATCAGGCAGGAAGAGGTTGCAAGCAGGAACCCTCTGATATGAAAGAAAAGGAAATATCGTTAGGCTGTTTGGGATGAACAACCTTAAGGAAGGAGTAATGTGATTTGCTGCCTGAAAGCCGGACCATAAAACGTCCATCACTCGTCAGCGGCTAGCAATTCCTAGGCAGCAATGCCTAGGAAATCGTTGCTCTGGAGATTAAAGTCTAACAGTGGGATTTCAACTGTTATTTGTTACGAAATGTATTCCTGCGGCATCAAGACATTTGTTGTGGACGAAACGGAATTCTTCGACAAGGTGTTCCCTATTGACTCCAAGTGCAGGATATAAAGAGCAGAGCAGAGCTCAACAAGAGCTAAGGACAATTAAGCTCCAAGCAGAGCATATAACACAGAAGAGGAAACCTTTGAAGGCGTTATAAGTGTGAATAATTGTACTTGTGAGTTTAAAGAGTGATCATTCAATAAATATTCGTACAAACCCAAGACCCATGTAAATTTTCTTGTCGCGTTGCCTAGGAAACATGTTACAATATTTATGTTGGTTTTTATGAGTTATATCTGCATTGTTTGGTGGTATGAAGGAACTTAGTTGAAATATTTATATTACTTTTAGATATGTATATAAGATACATCCTGTGTCAGTAGTTTCATTAAAAAGGACTGATAAAATTGAATTGAATTGAAGTACTCCTGCATCTACAGAGGAATATGAACACAAGTCTGAGGTAACTTGCACGTAATTTGGTCATTATACATTTTTCACCATCGGATAATGAGATATAAAGATTCTTCATTCAAATTATAAGTTCAGATGCTTGCACTTAAGTATTACAAATATGTACATGTATATAGGAGTTTCCTAGATCACAACTGTAATGCCATAACATTTCTTATGATTCCTTACTTTCTTAGTTTTTGTACAGAACATCACAAAATTCCGGGATGTGCTTAAATTCCCATCAGATGAGGACTTAAATGGAGCAGCTGTAGCACTTACCAGACTGCAAGATACATACAAGTTGGATACTGCTTCAGTTGCAAGAGGGGAGTTGAATGGTATTCAGTACAGCACTGAACTCTCAGGTAAACCATTGCATTGTTGAACTTGAATTTGTTCCATAAATCCAATCACTGGTTGACACCACAAATACAAATACATAATACTGTACAATAATAGTTTTGCTTGAAAAGTTAATAAGATTATAATACAGTATTAATATTACCATGCTAATTGGATACATACAGCACAGTCTGCAAATAAGCAAAATGATACAGTAACATGTTTGAGAATACACTTTAGCTTAGAATTGATACTAGTCACTCTTTGTTTACATTGAAATATTCATCTATTGAGTAGAAGGAGTAAGTAAGTGACGTTTCAATGCTGTTTTAAATTGCTTAATGTTACCAGTTGCTTTTTTGAGACTTTGAGGGAGGTTATTGAACACTTTGTTGCTGAAGGAGTGAACTCCTTTGATGAATGTTGGTGGAAGTTGAGTTTTTGCCTTGTATTTATGTTATGAATGTCATAATTTAAATTGTACGTGCTTCTGTTGTCTGCCACAAATAATAGGAGTGAGTATATAGTAGGAGTAGTGTGAGTGAAATGGTAATATTTTAAAATTTTTAAATGAATCTCTGTTTCCTATAATAATTCTAATTACCTTCTTTTGCATTTTGAAGATTTTAGTGCTATCAGTAGAGTTCACACAGAATATTATTCCATGTGACATCTGAAAGTAGGCATAATAAACCGTTTCCATTACTTCATGAGACATGTAGGATTTAATAGATCTGAGCACATAACAAGCTGCACTTAGCATATGTAGTACATGTTCAGTATGTAATTTCGAAGACAGTATATTGTCTATAAGTAATCCAATGAATTTTGTATCATGTGCTTTAAAAATTGTTTCGTTAGTGTAGCTTACATCCAGGTTAAGTTGGGGTTCATTTTTAGTTGTAAATTGTATGAGATGGTGTTTTGCGAAATTTAGTGAGAGACTATTGGCTATGAACCATTTATTTAAATATTCGAATAGGTTGTGATGTCACTTGTGAAATTTGTGGCATTAGAGCTAGTAACTGTAATGAATGTATAAGGGGTGGTCCTTCTCGGCCCTTGCACCGCGACCTACAGTGATCTATATACTAGTATCATCTGCAAACAGAATTGGTTTAGATTTATTCTTAACAAGGTTTGGTAAGTCATTTATATAGAGAAGAAATAGCAAAGGCCTTAGTATGGATCCTCATGGGACACTGTACTGTATTTTACCCCGTTTTGAAGCTATCTGATGACTAAATTTTATATTTTTTATTTCCATCCTTTGATATCTGTCCACAGGGTATGATTTATTCGAGTTATTAGCTTTACCAATTATCCTATACCAATTTAACCTTTAAGTGCCGAAGTGCCCAGTTTGTGCCAGTCATGAGTAAGGTCGTCGTGGCCAAAGTACCCCGTTTTGTCCAGTCAGGCATTTAAACTCCACTAGTGGAAGCGCGCACACACGCCGCTAGTAGAAGCGCATGCACAGTCCTAAATATTTATTTTCAAATGTAGTAATTACCAGACAGACTTGAGTAAAACCCTAATAGAGGAATTAAAATAATACCTAACTGAACAACAGCAAATAAAAATATACGTATGAGTTATGCCAAAACTTATCCACGATCCAGTAATTTTATTGCAGATTCTGCAGATAGCTATGTTCAAAATATATTGTAAAATTCAATGTACATACCTTTTTTGTTGTTACCTGCTTGATGTATATACAGTTTCAAATAAAACTACCGTATTCAATTTCACTACGAACGCACACAAAACAGATCGCGCTCTGTATCTCAGCCACGATGCAGCTGTCTGTTCCCTCAAATAGAAGGGGCAATAAGCTTTTGCAGTTCTAACAGAAGGTTTTAGCACTGAAGAAGGGACCCCTCTAGCTTTCTCTTGAATAGCCATTCTTTCATTCTTCTGACCTTCAGTCAAAGATTCGAAAATCCGAAGGGTGTAAGCAGTGCTAGCAGAAGACCAAATGATTTTATTGCTTCCATCTGTTTTATGACACCAGGGACTGCTAAAATTTGTCAAGTGTTACAAACAGAAATGAATTTATAATGCAGAACAACTCTGTGAAGAACTGAGAAACAATTTTTGCAGTACGCATCAAAATTAAAACACAAAATATTGAAAATAGAGTATAACATTTTGTATTAAAAATTTCAAATCTTCCGTTATAATATGCGACACTATGTTCTTTGCTGATATAAACAAAGTTAATACCATCCATTTATCATAAAAATTGTGCTAGATACAGCATTTTTAAACACAACGCTTAAAATTGATTAACCGCCTAACAGGAACGGATATTTAAACACAAGGGAGCAATGGGCATTTAAACGAGCACCAGCAGCGGGCATTTAAATAAACTCTGGCCAGCTCAAGTTTACCACTATTTCGAAGTCCGGCGTTTAAAGGTTAATTTGAGCAGTAAAGTGTCATGATTAACACAGTCAAACGCTTTAGCTAGATCACAGAAGATCCTGCATACTAGTAATTTTTTTATCAAGGGTACCTATGGTTTCATTGCTTAGTTCGTAGGTTACATTTTCTGTTGTTAAATTTTTCCTGAATCCAAATTGTTCTTTTGCTAGTATGTTGTTATTGATTATATGTTCAAGCAGTCTCTTATATATTAATTTTTCAAAGATTTTTCAGAAAGAGGTCAGTATGGATATTGGTCTTATAATCTAGACCTGAACAAGAACTTTCAGCTCCTATCCATAAGAGTGTACACAACATTTGAAGTATTTTCTTTGTATTGTTTCTCTGTTTCACAAGGCTAACACCTGGTCTGTTACAGAAGGACAGATTAATGACTGGTCAGAAACATCTGTTCAGTCATGTGAGATATAATGCATTAATACTCATTTATATGTCTACTGAAAGATGAATTCCAAACCAACTCTCTGACTCTCTGAGAAACAAGCTAACTGGATAACTGAAACTGGAGTAAAGCCTGTGCTCGGTTACTCAAGAAATTTCATGTCATTTATAGAATCATAAAATGGTTTATACTGTGTTTCACAGGAGTACACAGAAGGAATTTATGATAATAGAAAGTTTGTTCCCTTACAGTTGCGTGCAATGTTATGTGATGAATTGTTTATAAACCTGTGTGAAGTGCATAAAATGATCACATAATGGAAAGAATTTGTTTTTCTGTCTGCATGTTTCTTCTCAGATGAATGAAAGGATTTTGATGAAATCTGATAGTGGAACTCTGACTTAGTGGTTATTAGGTAAATTTTCTTTATCCTTTTAAGTCCAAAATTAGTCCTTCTTTCTACAAAGCAATACTCAGTCATCATCATGTGTTTAAACTGCTTGTCTGACAAGTGGTGCGTGATATAAATCTCATTAAGACATACAACTTTTATTTTAAATCATCTTTTGATATGCTGAATGTTTACCAAATTAAGAGGACAAAAATAATTTATGGCACTATACACGTAATATTTATACTCATTATTAACTTGTCTACCACACAATCTTATCTCCATGAAGTGTGATCTACTGTTGGCTGACTTTGTAGAAATAGATTTATGTCAACAATATAAGAACAGGAAGGCACATGAAGCATGCAGAATTGTAAATAATGAATTAGGAGAACTGCAATTTGAATACTGCTTTCAACTGTCATTTTATATATGAGCTGACTGCTAACTTCATAACTATAATGAATTAATATTCCAAGGTCGCGGGATCGAATCCTGATGAGGTCATTGGATTTTTTCAATTTACCTAATCCTTTCTGCCGCACTATGGCCCTGGAGTCGAGTCAGCCTCTAACAGAAATGAGTACAAGGAATATTCTTGGAATATTGTGGGGGTAAAGGGCAGCCGGCACGTAGAGCTGACAACCTTACCGGAATCTATGAGCCGATTGTCTAGAAAAATGTGGGAACTTCAACATCTCACAACCCTATGGGCCTCCACGGCTTGTTACAGGGATAGCTTTACTTACTTTTTACTTTACCTGTTATCTTTATTAGAACACAGCTGTGAGTAAACATGGTGTGCATTGAGGGGGGAAGAAAAAGAGAGTAAGAACCCTGATGCCCTGTGAACTCTAAGCGGTGACTCCATTTGTGGGTTCCAGTTCATAGATGACCTTTACTTCCTTTCATCCCCTTTTGTGCATAAGTCACACAGATTTTAATACAGTAAGGAGCAACAAAGAAACTAAATTGTTTGTGATTTCTTGTTCAAGTTGTCAGTTTAAGGAAGTTTAACCTTATTTAAACTCCAAAATAAAACTGCTATAATCATCCTACCTGTATTGTCTGGTTACTTATGAGTATAAGCTGTGGAGTAACGTACTGTTCATATTTGAATTCCCTGACAATTGTAAAACTGCTAGTAATATTAGAATGATGTTGAATCGCAGGCAGGTAAGATTAAGTCTTAAGCCAGATAATTTTTGTATCTGATTGAGGAACTTGCAGTATGTGCAACCATCAGCAGTGCATCAGATTAAACTGCAGTTTAGCAGTTATGAGCTTACTGACACCCCAAGTTAAGGATACTGTGACTTACATGAAACAGTCTAGTCTCATGCATCACCTTGAAACCACCCTCCAGTAAAAATCGTTTGTGATGTTGGTACTGCAGAATAGACATGTTCAAATGTTTTGATGCCAATTATGAAGACAATGAAAAGTATTTGATAGAATATTCAGAAGAAGAGAGTGGCTCACATCAAGCTTTAAATGCTGGTGGTTTCTTTACACTGTACAAGGAAACTTAATTTCATCTTGAAGCAGATGCATATGCAACACTTCTACTTGATCTACCAATAAGATTCACCTTTGAGAATTACCTGAACATTTTGGTATCTGATTCATATAAGCCTATTGAATTAAAAGACCATCCTCACATGATTCCAAATGAAGATATCATCATATATATATTTTTTTCTTTTTCGCACATTTCTTAAACATACTCTGCAGAGTCTGCTGTAAATGTGTATGTTCAGTAAATACTGGCTTGTGAATGAGTTATGGCCAGAGGTGTAATTCATACTGTTTTTTTTTTTCCTTGTTCACTTAGGTATCAATTTAGGTCTTGTATTGGGGTTTTACTCAGGTCTGTCTGGTAGAGTTAGGACAGTGTAATTTTTTTTTAATTCACTTATTGAGGGGTGGACTCCGGCTGGGTCCACTCGGCACAGCGGCCACTGATTGGCCTATTGTAGCCTGCCCTGGGTGATTATGATAATGGAGAATTTGGTGGAATGAAGATTGGCAGGGGAAACCGAAGTACTCAGAGAAAATCTGCCCCAGCGCCACGTTGTCCACCACAAATCTCACTTGACCAGACCTGGGACTGAACCCAGGCCGCTGTGGTAGGAAGCCAGCGACTAACCACTTGAGCTATGGCGCGGCCCAGATTTAGGACAGTGTATCTTTTCAGTCTGTGTAGTTTTTCTATTGTCTAGTAGGTTCACTGCTAATGCATTAGTGTGGTTTTATAATTTTTTATGGTATTCCATTTTTTTATTTCACTGAACACTGTTCATTTGTAGATCTTCATGGATCCTGTTGTTGTTTATGTACCAAGGCATATTCAGAATGGATCGGAGAGTCTTGGATTGAAAATACTGGAGGATTTTGATTTTGGAATTGGAGGCTGGCCCCCATAGCTGAATTCCATAGCTCCATATGGGTTTGAGTACTGCATTGTATAGAAGTTTGTTTTTGTTGATAGTGTTGATCTTCTTTTGAGTCGCCAATGCATTTGTTTCGCTTTTAGGTTGAGCTGTTTTCTTTTTGTTTTCGTGTGCTTTGCCCATTTCATTTGAGATGTGTGCCCAGGTATTTCACTTCATTTTTCTGAGGTAGGTCAACATTGCCCATTTGCACTGTCAGGTAGGTTTGGTTGGGTAGGGTGAACGTAATATGCGTGGATTTGCTTTGATTTATTTTAATTCTCCATTTCTTCCCCCAATCATCGATCTTATTGATGGTGGTTTTGGAGTTTCATTCAGGCTGTTGCTGGATCTTTATATGTGGCTAAGATTGCTGCATCATTGGTGAAGGTGTTGTCTGATATAGTGGGGTCGCTTCTGTAGATATGGGATTGGTCCTAAGACACTTCCTTGAGGTACACCAGCTTCAGTTTTCCTAAAAGTGTGATTTTATCCTCGAATTCTACTTGAAACAGTTTATCTGGTGGATATGATTCTGATATTCTGTAGTATGCATGGGGAAAGATTTATCTGATTTTGAGCAAGAGACCTGAGTGCCATACTTTATCATATGGTTGTGTGATGTCTAGGAATGGCATAGAGCAGTACTGTTTTTTTTTTTTTTTTCTAAAGTTCCTCATATCTCTGCAATTCGTTTTACTTGTTCTGTTGTGGAGTGTTTCTGTCAGAATCCAAACTGATGGTCCAGGAGGATTCGGTTTTCTTCTGGTATTGGATGTAATCTCTTGAGTGTAGCTCTTTCGAAGATTTTGCTCATAATTTGGAGTAGGCTGATTGATCGATATGAGTTGGCTTCCTCTAGTGGTGTACCAGGTTTTTGGATCATTATGATCTGCTTGACTTTCCATAGAACTGGGAAATATCCTGTTCTCATAATTGTGTTGCATATAGTTGTTAGATGGACAATGCCTTTTCTTGGCATTTCTTTCAGTATTCTCCCTGTAATTAGGTCATATCCAGGGGCTTTCCTTGGCTTGAGATCATCTTTTACTTTATTATATTTAAGCATCCTGTTGCACTCTATACGATAAATGATACAAATTCCGTCCCAAGTGCAAACAATATATATTATATGTCTTTGATCTTGTTCTTTCCACACTGCATGTTTCGGCCTCTATCGGCCATCATCAGGTGTATACTCTTAACGTTGCTGCCACACTGAACCCGGTCTAAAATTTAACATTTAGAAACACAATGTCACATTCTTCGTATTATCAACATCTACATCGTTGATATGTGTCTGGTATGTAGATTATGTTGCACACGTCCAATTTTGATGTTCTTGTAGTAGCACTTTAAAAATCTTTAGTTATGATGTTTTTAAAAACTTTTTAAAATTTTCTCTAAATTTAAAATTTAAAATTTAAAATTCTTAGGGTTACACGCCCTATGTCTAAGTGCTTGAGCGGCTAGTTCTTGTTTTCACACTGTACAGGTGTTATTTAATGTAGTCTTCTTGTGTGGGTGCCGCTGCTTGTCTGCTTGCTTTATCTTTTACTTTGTTTTGAATTTCCTTTGGTGTAAGAAAATTGATTGATTGTATTATTTGTAGCAGTTCCTTGGGTGCTTTGTTAATTTCTGTTTCGAGATCTTCGTTTTGTGGCATTTCATTTGGTTTGATTTCTCTTTTTTAAGTGTCCTGCAAAAGTGTTTGCTTTTTCTTTATCACTTTGGGCTCACGTCTGGTCTGCGCTTTTGAGTGGTGGGCTGCATTGTATTGGTTGTTTTAATTATTTGGTTGCTTTCCAGAGTGAACAGTCAGTGTCAGCTGCCACTTTTAAGCTTTGAAGGTGTGTCCTTGTGGAAATTGCATAGGAAATCTTTGGGTTTTTTCCTTTGTACAAATTTCCATCATTTAAAAATGCTTAACCCAGGAACAAGAAGATACAGTGTGGGATGTGCAAGATTTAATAGATGGATTTAAATGTTACAAACAGTTATCATCAAGTTCAGTTACAATTCCAGAAAATCTATGCAAGGGAAGTGTGAGTGACAGTGAACAACATTCTAGAAAGAAAATCAAAACAACAAAAGTGAGCAGTACAGTAAAACTTGGTTATAGCAACATCGGTTTCTGCGACACCTTGTCTATTGCGTCAAATATTCAATGGTACGAACTAATTCCTCATAAAGCAACTGTTTTTATACCTTGCTTAGTACGACATGCACAAATGCATCAACCTCGTATGTAACGTCATTTTCATTCCTGAATTTCTCTGATATCGTGGGAAAGTTCGATGTGTCTGCCCACCCTCACTTTCTCTTCTTTCTGACGTGACTGTCCTGGAAGAATACGACCGCGGGCTGCAAGAGGAGCGTGGGTTTTATGCGAAAACAAGGGCGTGGGGTTGGACTGCGTGAATAGTGCAAGAGGACGCGGCAGGTTGTTAACTGCATTCCTTTCCTAGAATCTCGTCTAACAGTACCTCGCATTGTCTACTTACACTATAGTGTTCCTGCCTAAACCCAGAGAAGTGCAGTAGCGAAAACATGGCAATGAAAAGGAAAGTTTTAAGCATTGAAGAGAAAGTTAAAGTGATTCGTGAAATATTGTGTGTATTGTCAGTGAAAAGCGCTGTAATATGTCTTTGATATTACACATTTGGGCAATTCCACGTTAATGTTACGTTAGTCTGTACTTAACTACGTATTTCACTAAAAAATGTAACATTTTAACTCTGCTCTTGATAGATTTTTACGTGACTAACATAAGGCTACTGTGGAAGTGCCCATTTCGGTTACAACGACATTCGTTTATAACGACACTATTTTTAGGTCCCTTTGATGACGTTATAACCAAGTTCTACTATATATGCATATTACTGTGAGTCACATTGATATTCATAGACTTCCTGGACTGGTCAAAAAACCGTGAGGCGGAGTTCAGATATTACCAAGAGTAGCCAGAAATGTACTTTTTTGTATCTGCTACCAGTGCAAGCAGCAAAAGAAATTATATTGTAGCCACATTAGTATGAACCAGCTTAAGCAGTTACAGCATTGACTTCATTCTGTTTCTGCACAACTTGAAGTTAAGGTACAGTTAATGAAAATCAAAGACAGACAAGATTGGCAGAAATTAATTTTCATTCTAAGAAATTAAAAAAAGGAAGAGTTTTAATATTCTCTGTTATGAGAATCTCAGATCTCATAAATTTCACTACCAGAACATTCATATTTTTCAGCAGCTTTGGACGATTTATAAATACTGAGACCAAATTTCTGCAATTCTTACATCTCACTCATGTTACAAATCCATTTTTAAGTTAGATTTGCCACATTTAATTGGAAACTGCAGCTGAAAATAAATTGTTTGAAGTAAAGAGACTCTTTATTACATGTGTATTTTTGTTCCATTTGCATAGGCATTGCTAGATGACCATGAAACTGAATGTTGCTTTTATCTTTGCAGCTGGAGATTGTTTTGAGCTTGGTCGTCAGTCATACAACAATGGTGATTACTACCACACCGTACTGTGGATGACTGAAGCATTGGAGCGCTATGAAGAGGAGTCCAATAAAACAACAGCAAAATCCGACATCCTGGAATATTTGGCTTTCTCCACATACAAGCAAGGTAGGTGCCTTCTACTTGCTTTGTGCTGGTTTTATGCTTGGCATATTCTTCGCCCCTGAAGATGGAGGTGACATGTTCCTCCGAAGCATTGGCTGATTTTCGACAGACTACACAGCAATATTTACCAGAACGTATAGCTCTTCATAACCACCATTGTGAGAACCTGAAACCCTATAAAATGTCAAAGAAGTTAATCATTATCACTTTTCAGTTTCACGTTTTAACAAGATTCTGACTTCATACAGATGTATTAATGTATTTCAAGCTTTATATTCAAGTCTGAATTCTTCATTTTCTTTGAGATAGTTACAGTCACTCAAAATTTTGCAGTCAGTGCCAGCCAGAATAGTATAGATATTTGATGGAGACAGAACCTTAAACATGTGCCTGTGCACTTGTGTTCTGTGATATCATCATCCAACGTAGGTCACTGGAAACTGAAGGAAAGGGAGATCTCTGTGATGAGGGAAGAATACTGCTTAATGCCTGCATAAACTAGCCAAGCAACACATTCCACAATGAAACAAGCTACTAGACTGAAGAGGACATCATGTGATGTACATTTCTCAGCGGTTAAAATATGGAGAGGATAAGATGCTCATAGTTCAGTTCTAGAATGCAATCTTCATCATGGGTAGAAAAGAGATGGTTAATTTGACCCTTGTGGACTGCTAACCATAAATGACCTTGGATGAAAAATTGCAAATACAGTTACTGAAAAGGTTAGGAAAGTACTGGCACTAGGTTGGAATTGCTTGTTATGACAAACACTCTATAAAGGAGCCGTTATTTTGTGCAGTGATTTTCAATACATCTAATATTAAGGAACTGACTTCCCCCCTCCTTCTTACTTTCCTTCCTCCCTCCCTTCTTTTCTTTCTTATCTTGTCTAATTATATGTATTGTAAGTTCAAGAGATCCAAAGGTGGATATAAAACATGTCATAAAATAATATAGAGCATAGAATGCATACCTAAATATTACACAGCTACACAACTTAACATATCTTCTTTTATCTTCTCTTCCACTTTCCTCCCACATAATAAAGTCCTTGTTGTAATCCATATGTGCTTTGTATCACTGTTTCATTGCACTCTCCATCTATGTTATTACCAATAAAATTTGCCAGAAGATCCAGTTGTGTCACACTCATTCGTCGCACATTCACTCTTTCTTGGGAGGCCGGTACTTCTACATTACCGGTTCCTCCTCTGCTTGAAGTCTCTTTTTCCATTTTGGAGGGGGTGGTGCCCTCCACAAGGTCCAATCCTTGCCTTGTCTTAGGCCGACAGAAAATCCGGCTACTCGCTTGGCGATCTGCAGTCTTGCAGTTTTCCACAGGTCTGGTTTCTTCACATATCGCGGCTGTCTGCCGCCTAGGTCCTTCACTTCATTTCTGCGTTGTAGTTGCTGTCTCAGGCCTCGGTCCCTGATGCCAGTGTTGCATTCCGGGCCTTTCCACAGTCTCTTCCCGAACGTCTGTCCTTTCAAGGTTCCCGTCGTTACTCTCCAGGCTACTTGTCCAGAATTGAACCTGGTTGAATATTTCTTTATGGGATCTCCCTTGCACCGTGTCGCACCTGCACGACTAGTCATATTGCTGTTGGCAGCCAATTCGTGCCATGGTCCACAATTTCCTTGGGTCGTAGATTTCTTGATGATGTTACTCTTGTGCCATGCCACTGTTGCACGGCGGGACACCTTCCCTCTGTTTTTCTTCTGCTGCGCCACTTCCACACGGGGGCTTGTCCCTCTGCGGGCTACGGCCAACTTCTTCTGGGGTTTGCACTTTTCCCGTGTCGAATTCTTCATATTTCGTTGCTTGTTTTGGTCCCTACACCTTTTCTGCTACGGTTCTCCAACCGGCATTACTTCAGCGTCTTCTACGGGTACCTCTCATTGGTCGGCTGTCTCATGTTTCTTGTCCACTGAGGCCGGCTTTTCTTCTTGACGTGCTTCCATCTTTTCTGGGCAGGCCACTGTCTCTTTTTGGGTAATCGGCATCAATTCATCTTCAGGTTCACTGACCGGTATCACTGCGGCGTTGTCTATGAGGAACTTTTCTTCTTGACGTGCCACCACCTTGTCCAAACTTGCCAAGAAATCTTCTTGGGCGGCCAGCAGGCGTTCCAACATTTCTTCAATTTTCATCATGTGGCAGTATAATTCATTGTAACTTGTGGCGTGTTCAAGTTCGTAAACCAATTCCGACACCAAATTGTCATGTGTTGGGTGTATAACACGACAGATAACTTCACGCCTTATTGGATATAGCGAATTTTATTCCACACTCGCTCATACAACCACAAAGTTTACAATCTCACAACTACTGCTATCTGCAGTACTACAATTACTTGGCCTGCGAAGGCTAGACTACAACTGACTGGTTGACTGACTCACTGCTGGCTAACTCGTAACTAACTTTTGAATAGTCTTCGCTGCTCCTTATTTAGGCCTGTTACGGACAACACAGAAAACAGCTACGTAATAGGCACCACTGTTGTCTGACACTGTGTTTGCCGACAGCCTAGCAACGCTGTCGGGAGTTGTTTACTGCTGAGTAGCAACGGTGGCATCCCGTGTTACATCACCGCTGGTGGGGTAGGCAGAGTAGTGTTGACTTGCCTGTTACCTTAGTAATGACAGCGATCCGATGGTGTTACCTCACCGCTGGTGGGGGGAGGGTTGTCCTGCATAATGCAACACGTCACAATATTATCAGTGGCTGTACTTGAGGAATTTTGAATTATTCTTGCAAAATTCACAGTGTGTGGCAAATTGTATGTCTTTATTAGAGAGTTTACTTGTTTTTTATTGTTATTTTCATTTAAATAGTTAATGTTTATATCTCCACAGGTTATGAACTCAAGTTTTGGATTGTACAGATATTTTAAAATTGAATCTAGTCTCCTTAGAAAGTGATTAACTTCTTCTGAAGGAGCTGTGTACAAACTTAATATAATAATGTTAGAAGTTTTAGTTACTAATTGAACTGCATAGCTTTCAAAGTCTTGCTCCTTGCAGAGATGAGAAATAGCAGTTTTATTGAAATGTTGATGTATCCTAACACAAATACAGATACCTCCCGCTGTAGGTCTTTTTGGCAAAAGCTGGAGCCTGTTAGGTAATCGTTTATTGTTAGATGCAGCAGCTCCTGTTCAACCATGTTATGCTTACTGAAACATAATATGTTTATTTCAAAAGAGTTCATTAATTCATCACTTTTGCTTCACAATCTTCTGATATTCTGGTGATTGATATTTATTGAGTTTGGTGATTCTGCGTTTTGTTTGTGTACTTCCAAGGCTGGACTGCATTTGATGTATGCTAAGCACCTCTGTGCATTTGAATTCAAGCTAAGAAAGGAGATGCCCTAGCATAGATTATAACAGGGATACTGCTTATACCTGCCACATGACCACCAGCAACCCTCTCAGCAATAAGTTTCATGAGCCTCTTCTTGCCTTGAGAGTTTAGGTGCAGGCCATGCATACGGTAATCTTCCCTCGCAGTAGGTTGATGTGTCAGTAAAAAATTTTTTTTTTTTTTAAATTCGCTTAATGGTGGGGTGGAGTCCAGCTGGGACCACTCGGCACAGCAGCCACTGATTGGCCTATTGTAGCCTGCCCTGGGTGATTATGATTATGGAGAATTTGGTGGAATTAAGATTGGCAGGGGAAACCGAAGTACTCGGAGAAAACCTGCCCCGATGCCACTTTGTCCACCACAAATCCCACTTGACCAGAACCGGGATTGAACATGGGCGGCCATGGTGGGAAGCCAGCGACTAACCGCTTGAGGTATGGCGCAGCCTGTTTTGTCAGTAACATCAGTATGCGACATATCATGCCTCAACAGGGCCCAGTCAAGTCATAGATTCATGCTCCTAACTCTCCTTTTTATGCATGGCTTGTCATGCCTCTCAAAGAGGTTGACAAACCACACATTGGTGTTTGATGTCCTCTCTGTAATGAAGTTGATATCATTTTAAATTGTATAATGATAGCTTCACTCCAGGCTGTTTCCTGGCCCTCTCACTATAATAATATGATCTTGCTTGGTAAGACCTTTGTGAAATACTGTTACTTCTTAATTCTGAAATGCAGATACCTAACCATATTCATAGCATCACTGTAGAATCAGCTGTACGTAGGTAAGTCAATAATTATCCGCAATGTAGCTATAAATTTTATTTCAATACAAATAGAAAACTTACATTAACATCATTTTTCAACATAGTCCCCTTGCTTTTCAATGCACTTGGTCCATCCTTGCACAAGCTACCTGATGCCCTCAGAAAAGAAGGTTTTTGGCTGAGCAGCGAGCCACGCATTCACCGCTTTCTTCACTTCTTGGTCCCAATGTGAATCGAAGCCCCTTAATGCCTCTTTGAGTGGACCAAACAAGTGGTAGTCAGAAGGGGCGAGATCAGGACTGTACGGAGGATGAGCCATTAACATCAAATTTGAGTTGCCGGAGAGTTTCAGCAGCGTGGGCAGCAGTATGTGGACGGGCATTGTCGTGCAACAACACAACACCTTTTGACAGTAGTCCTCTGCGTTTGCTTTGAATTGCAGGCTTTAGCCTGTCAGTAAGCATCTCACTGTAACGAGCACTGTTTATTATTGTGCCCCTCTCCTGATATAGTTCCAGTACTGGGCCTTGTGAGTCCCAAAAAACTGTAAGCATCAGTTTTCCTGCGGATGGTTGGCTTTTGAACTTTTTCTTGCTGGGCGATTGTGGATGTTTCCATTCCATACTCTGCCGTTTAGTCTCCGGCTCGCAATGATGGATCCATGTTTCGTCACCAGTGATGATTCTGTCTAAGAAGACGTCACGTTCATTACCATAACAATCCAAATGTTGTTGGCAGATGTCCAAGCGCGTTTGTTTATGCAACACTGTGAGTTGTTTTGGGACCCATCTTGCACAGACTTTATGAAACCCAAGTCTGTCGTGGATGATTTCGTAGGCAGAACCATGACTAATTTGCGGACGATTTACCACTTCATCAATGGTCACTCGTCTGTTTAACAGAACCATGTCATGTGCATGCTCAATGTTGTCCTCATTTGTGGCCGTGGATGGTTGTCCGGCTCCTTCCTCATGCGTAACACTTGTACGACCATTTTTTAATTTTTCAATCCATTCATAAACACTCCATTGCGGCAAAACACTGTTCCCGTATTGTGCTGAAAGTCTTTGATGGATTGCGGCCCCTGATACACCTTCCAACCACAAAAACCGGATCACTGAACGTTGCTCTTCTTTGGTGCAAACAGAAAGCGGAGCAGCCATGATTAACGTCAAGGCAGCAATGATGGAACTGACCTAGCAACATCAAACCTGCGCAGAAATAATGACAAGGAAACCACACATGGCGATGCTGCACAAAGCGACAGTGCTGCCAAAAGAAACAAATACAACTGCATTGAGGATAATTATTGACTTCCCCTCGTATATTCTCTGTATTATTGATCACCCTATGATAACATGTTATGAGAAGTGATAATGCATTGTTTGTGGCAAGATTTTCACATCACCCATCTTATACAAAATCCAGGCCCATATTTTGAAGTTGAGTGTAATGGGTCTGAACCTCCAACTTCCAAAATGTCTTGGGAGACATGACAAAGTTTTTTATATTGCAGGAAGACATGACACAGAATGTATAAATCAGAGACCCCTTTGTGACTTGGGTCAGTCCTGTTATCTTGTCAGGAAGTTTACCTTCCAGCTGTTTACATCTCTTAGGTTCATTATGTCCAACAGACCCCTGCTTTATAATTATATTTGCTGGTTACTTTGCTGTTAGTAGCCAGCAGTGTTTATTAGTATGTAAATAAGCTTATTTAATACAGTGGGTTAACAATGACTTCTAGAAATACATGTTTCTTTCTCTGATTTTCTTAAGAAATTTAAAGTTCTCAGGTCTGTTAAAGTATTAATTCCACAAGCTTGTAACAGTCCAGTACTTTTCCAGGGAATGTTCATATGGCTTTGAAATTAACAAATGAATTATTGGAGATAGTTCCAAGCCACCAGCGAGCTCTTGGCAACAAAGTATATTATCTGCAAGATATTGAGAAATTATTAAAGGAACAGAAGAGAGGAGATGATGGAACAGCAGCTGTTCAAACTGACCAGGTGAGTTAAACTTGCAAACGTTGTATGTCATGAGTCAAAATTATGTTATCTTCAAGGAGTAAACACATTTAGTTCTCTCCCTAATGATAAATACACTTGTGAATTGTAAAGAGAGCGAGAGACCAGCTGTTAGATTGGTTATTGATATATGCACTCATTAAAGCCATTTAGAAGTCACAAGGTAGAATATTTTGTATGCTTGGGGTCTGTATTACAATGAAAAGCATATTCTTGGTATTGAGGCAGGCATAAGAATTTCCAGAGGTTGTAAATGAACTTTAAATTGCACTAATATTTTTAGAGAATTAATTCATATTTCTTGTTTTGCAAAAATATCTTATACTAATCTTATTAAATAAATGCCTTAACTACGTTATCATTTGTAAGATTTGAGGCTTTCACAGCAGTGACTATGAAGAAAGCAGTCTTCTGGGATTTGGCACCGTGTATATGTGGTGTTAACCGACGTTTCGGAGGACTGTATCGCTGCTGCTTTTACCGGTTCTCATGGTCTCTTCGCTTGCGGATTTCTTATATTTTTTACTTCTACCCTGAAGATGGAGGCGATACGTTCCTCCGAAACGTCGGTTAACAACACATATACACGGTGCCAAATCATATGTTACATAATTAATTTGTTATGCATGATATGTGAAAGCAATGTGCACTAAGAAACAGAAAATGATAAAAGAACTGAACCATAGCTTTATATTCTGGTATTTGTGTATGAAATATACTTCATTATAATAATTTAATTCATATGGATCATGTGTCTGCACCTATATCTCTGCATATGTTTACATATATACAGTCTCAGTTTTCACTCCACTACCAGTAATGATATTTAGTATTTCCTCATGTAACTCAGAGAAGTTCACAGGTTTATGGCCCATAAATTCACATGTGTGAAATTTAATGGGTCTGATCATAATGCCTTCAAAATAGTCTTCTTGTCAAGCAACATGTATCTGTTGCTTGTGTTTCCTTGCCATGAAACATGTTTCAAAGTCTTTTTCTTTATGTTCTTTGTCGTTGCAGTCATTTTTAGTCTTTGTCCATTTTGTATGAAAAATAGAGTTATAGTATGTTTCTTATGTGTGTGTCCATCACAAATAATTTTTTCATCAACTGATAGATTTTTAAGAAGCTCATGATCAGAAGCACCTGCGCTTATGTAAGACTAGTACAGTGAGTTCTGAGGTATCATAAATAATAACTGTATTTATTGCTGAATCCTTCAGTTCTGTGCCAGTTCTTTAATATTATACTTACCTAGGTGCTTTAAGATTATATTTATCTTTTTGTTTGGTAGCAGTAGTTGATGGACCATTGGAGATGGGCATGTGGGCATGTGGAGGAAATAATAAACATACCTACAAATTCTGTATGAAACATTTTGTGTATGTTAAAAATTTTGTCTGACATCTTTCATGATTAGTAGATATCTGCAATCACAAATAAGAAGCTAATTAGTAAGTAGTTATTGCTAGTCGATCTATGCAAATGAAAAGATTTAGAGATATTTCAGGAGCCTCTAATTAATTTCTGTGGTTGGCTTAGAGTTGTCTCCCTTCCAAAGATTTCTCGAGTCTATACAATAGAAGGAGAGGGGCTAGTAGTTCATTAAATGTTTCTTTATTAACTGAAGTGTTATGAGATGAGAGAGTGATTATGTACAATGAACTGGAAAGACTGGAGGAACAAGAATTGAGGCCTATTTCAGGATTTCATGTTGGCATTCACCTGGAGGGACTGAGGGTAACTATGAAGAATCTCAGTTGGAATGGCCATTTCCCTGGGCAAGAGAATTACTTCTGAATACAAATAATTTTATTAGAAGTGAGATATTGCCAGGCCGCGCCATAGCTCAAGCGGTTAGTCACTGACTTCCCACCGCAGTGGCCCAGGTTCGATCCCAGGTGTGGTCGAGTGGGATTTGTGATGGACATGGTGGCGCTGGGGCAGGTTTTCTCCGAGTACTTCGGTTTTCCCTGCCAATCTTCATTCCACCAGTTGCTCCACAATCACCCTCACCTAACATCTGGGGCTGGTACAATAGGCCAGAAGTAGCCACAGGACAAGGGACTTAGTCCCATCCCACTAGCAATAAAAAAAATAGAGAAGAGAGAGATTGCTATTAGAAGGAAAGTTTCAAATTTTGCTTTGCAAAATCTGAAAATTGGTCAGTTTAATGTTACACTGAATGAGTTACCTCACTTTAATTGATGAATATGTTAAAATATTTTGACGATTTTGCTCAAGGCATTAACCTATGGAGCCAGAAAAACCCATTGCTAGGTAAACACATTCCAAACACAGGCAACAATAGAATAATTGCCGTTTCTATAACAATAGAGGAATATGATCATTGCTAGCAACAACTCAGTATACTCGTACATGTTCCAGCAACCATGCAACAATAGGGAGTCCATTGCTNCAGAAAAGGTGAATTGACTGCACAGTTCAGGGTCCCACAACAGAATGGATCACTCGCGTTGGACCTCAGCAGACGGGAATCAGGAAGTGGAACATTGGAAGGGGTAAGTAGTAAGAAAGGGGGTGGGGGACGCCCTCTGACGTAACGTAGACCCGGCGTTACAACACATCTACTATAATAGAAGAGGTTTTCTATGTGGTTCATGCTGTGGCTATATAATGAGAGCTGTGAGCTGTAGGAGTAGAGCGAACTGGAACAAGGAGCTGCGAGTGTCAAGGGAATTGGAGAGAGAATTCACCACACGAAGTTCATAACTGAAGAAGAATTAGAAGTTGGCCTGTGAAGCCTTAACCTGTGATTAGAAGATTTAGTCACAGTGAGACTGTTTTAATTCTGTTACCAGGAGATGACTAGTAAAGGCTTAGAGAGAATCCTAGTTTGTGTGTGTAACGGTGAACTGTAAATTGTGTAAATAAGCAATAGTGCTGTATTGTATAAGAGGTTAATAAACCCAATCAGCAATCCAAACCCCATTTACAAATCCTGAATTGTGTACATTTCACAGATCTCTGTGACAGAGAATAGGCTGCCTCTCCCTGAACGAGATGTCTATGAAAAGCATTGTCGTCTTGAGCATGTCATGCCTGCTGCTGTAGCATCGAAACTGAAGTGTCGGTATACCGACAGGGGTAATGCATTTCTCCGACTAGCACGAGTGAAAGAAGAGGAAGCATACCTTAAACCACTCATCTTGATCTACCATGATGTTATTTACAATTCTGAAATTGAAACTATTAAGAAACTGGCAATGCCTAGGGTATGTTACCACTTTTCTTTATGGTTTTCTTGTTTATATTCTTAACAAAATATAGGACCAGCCGGTAATCATGCATGTCTTGTAGTTGAGTGTGTGCTGTCATGTTTGACAGCCACCGTATTCTTACTGGCCACATACTTCCCATGGCATCTGTATATATTTCTCTCTGCAAGTTAATCTTACTTTTGTGCAAATAAGTTGTTACAACTCAAACAGTTATTGCAACTGATATCTTCTTCTTCTTCTTCTCCTTCTTCTTCTTCTTCTTCTTCTTCTTCTATGGTGGTGCAACAGCCCATTGTTGGGCCTTGGCCTTGGCCTCCCTTATCAAGCCCCTCCATTCTTCTCTATCCTGCGCTGCTCTCTTCCAGTTCCTTACACCCATTAACTTCTTTGCATCTTCTTCCACCGCATCAATCCATCTAGTTCTTGGTTTCCCCGCACGTCTCCTACCACCTATTGTACTGTATAATATTTTCTTTGGGATACGCTCCTTATCCATTCCTTGTACATGCCCATTGCAACTGATATACCTTAGTTAAAAAAAATTGTGCACCTTCATTTTGCCTTTTCTACTTGTCAGTTAAAGGCACACAGTTTAACATATTTCTCAGTTCTTACATGTTTCCTCCCTGATTTTCAACGTCTTATAAGAGTCAGATGTTAGTGATTATGCCTGGCTTTTTTATATTATTTGATATGATATCGGAAATTAGGAGACTGACTTAGTTTAGAAGAAAATAATGAAAGTGCCAGGAAATTCCCTGTTACAGTACCTGAATGAACTGCAGTCATCACAGGTGTGTCTCATTGGATCCCCCCCCCACCCCCAAGCCAGTTCACTTCATAACTCATTTCTTTGAGGTTCATTCTAATATCGTCCCTACTGAGTTTGGACCAAGTGTGCTAGATAGTGGTAATGCTGTAGACTTGTATTCATGTGGTACCCAGTTCAAATCTCGGCCATTGTACGAGCTATACTGACAAGTTTTCCATAGTCTGTCCAGTTGAATGGCAGGAGACTCTATTTTAATAAGCCACAATAGTCCCTTCCCACATCCATGTCTTAGGTCATCTCCCCATTCTCACTTGGTGCTGTGCAACTTATGAAGTTATAACAGCATCATAAGTAACTTACTAACTTGTATTCTTACACCTGAGTCTCTCATGTGGCCTTACTCTTGAAATGGTATAATGATGAGTAGTAATGGTAATAATGGAAGTGGTAGTAGTAGTAGTAGTAGTAGTAGTAGTAGTTAGTAATATTATAGTAGTGGCAGCAGCAGTAGTTAATGTCATTATACAGACAGTAGTTCTTGGTGGTAGATGAAGATGTACAGATTTTGTATGAAACATGCTTGTTCATTAAAGAAGATGGAAAAATGATGCATTTTGTAGTATTTATAATTTCCTGTTTAGAATACTTATTTCTGATAATGACAGTTGTTTGATACTGACATTGAAGTTTTTCTTTTCTGCAGTTTAAGCGCGCAACAGTACAGAACTCAAAGACTGGTGAATTAGAAACAGCCAACTACCGCATTAGTAAGTCAGCCTGGCTGAGGGATGAATTCCACCCTCATGTGTATGCTGTGAACAGACGTGTAGAAGACATCACAGGTCTCACCATAAGTACCGCAGAAGAGCTGCAGGTTGTCAATTATGGTATTGGGGGGCACTATGAACCACATTTTGACTTTGCTAGGGTGAGTATAGTATGTAGCATTAAAAATGGTAGTTTGTAATTACATAGGGTCAGTGATGTTAGGCAGATGTAAATACATACACCTGAGCTGTTGCTATTGCAAAGTTGAAAAGATATAAATCACCAGGTAGTGATCAAATTCCAACAGAACTGATTCAAGTAGGAGGTGGAACATTATGATCTGAGATTCATAAGCTCATTAATTCTATTTGGAGTAAGGAAAAATTGCTATCAACTTCATACAAAATGTTGTCCAATATTCTTCTCTCAGGGTTAAGTCCATATATAGATGAAATTATTGTGGATCATAAGTGCAGGTTTTTATGTAACAGATTAGCTACTGATCAGGTCTTTTGCCTTCATCAGATACTGGAGAAGAAATGGGAGTACAATGAGACAGTACCTCATCTATTTGTAGACTTCAAGAAAGCCTGTTATTCAGTTAGGAGGGAAATATTGTACAGAATTCTCATAGAGTTTGGGGTACCCATGGAACTATTTAGGCGATTAAAATGTGATTAAATGAAAGGTATTGTAAAGTCCGTATATGTAAACGTTTGTCTGATAATTTTCCTATCCAGTATGGTCTAAAACAAGGAGATGCTTTATCACCACTGCTTTCCAACTTTGCTTTAGAATATGCAATTAGGAAGGTCCAGGAAAACCAGGTGGGACTGAAACTAAATGGACACATCAGCTGCTGGTCTATGCTGATGATGTAAATCTATTGGGTGATAATATAGATACCATAAAGAAAAACACACAGACTTTAATTGGTGCTAGTAAGGAGGTTTGTCTAGAAGTAAACACAGAAAAAAGACTAAGGGTATGTTATAATATATTGTAGCATCCTGTTGCACTTTTCGCTTAATGTTTTTAATTCTACAGTCTTATGTGCAACAGTTTATTAAAACTTAATAAAAGCTGAAGAAAGCAGTCTTCTGGGATTTGGCACCGTGTATATGTGGTGTTTTGACCGTGTCTCACGGTGTTGTCGCTTGCAGATTTACTTATACTTCTTCAACCCTGAAGATGGGGGCGATACGTTCCTCCGAAACGTCGGTTAACACCACATATACACGGTGCCAAATCCCAGAAGACTGCTTTCTTCATAGTCACCGCCGTGAAAGCCTCAAATCTTACTTAATAAAAGCTAGTCACTTCGAAAGTTTTCATAACATGTTTCAAGTGAATTGGCCATCATCAGGTGTGAAAAGTTGTGGGTGAGGAAACTGCTGTGTTTCTGCATTGATGTTTGGTTGTTGATATATAAATGTAATAGAAAATGACCCAAAAATTACAAAACTAATCAAAAAGAAATAATAAACATGTTGAAAGTAGTAATGTAACAAAGTTACTTCTAATTTATCCATCAAGATTACAGATAAACAGAAGAATTCAGCAATGGGCACTCTTACTTCCACTATATTAGCCGAATTATACATTCAACAATTGTAGCATAATCAACTATCTCCAATCTTAAAGAAACATCAAATAATTGGATATTTCAGAAATACAGAAGACATAAAAGTAATTTACAATCAAAATGAAACAAATATAGATGAAACAATAACAGAATTTGGTAAACAAAAAACCAATATAAAATTCACTGTCAAGAAAGAACAACACAGTTCCATCAATTTCCTATATCTTACAATACACCAAAAAAGAACAAAACTTAAAGAGTTTGCAGTATATAGGAAATCTACACAAACAAATGCCATAATGCTGAGTGACTCATGCCACCCATATGAACATTAAATGGCAAGCATTAACTACTTGATGAACAGAGTGAATACACATCCAATAACAAATGACACAAAAACAAAGGAACAAAATATTATACAAGGCACAGTATGTAACAGCAAATATAACAAATGTAAGCATAATCACTCAAAAAACCACAAACACAACAAAAGTATAAGCCCACAACACCAAACGATAAAATGAACCATCTTTACATATTGGGGAAAAGAAACAAAGAAAGCCTTTTTAAACAAGCACACATAAAAGTCGCGTTCCAAACAAAAACACAGTACAAAATCTAATAAAACCCAGGCTGCAAATAGACAAGTATAAAAAAGTGGCGCATACCAAATGAGATTTAGGGGTTACCCACTAAAATACTCGTATATAGGGCAAACGGACTGAACATTCCAGACCAGATATGGAAGCATAACCGACACTACAAAAGTTATAAAAAAAAAAAAAAAAAGGAAAACATCAAAATTTACTGAAAAAATATTATATTTATAAAATAAGTAATAAGGGACTACACATGAACAACACATTAATACATATAACCCAATTTACGATGTAATAAGAGAACTGAACACCAGATAGAAACAAATAAACATAAGAATAAGAACCAGTCCAACTCAGCAAGGAACATAACAAGATGGGGCACATAACATAGCAAGGAGGAATGTAAGTACACAAACAAGTAAAATTATACAAGAAAAATCACAAACATAAGTTCTAATAGAAGAATTAACACTTGTTACAGACATATATGCCCACTAGGGGAACCATGTACCAGTAACTAAACATCAAAACAGAAAGACAGCAGTTTCCTCACCTGCAACTTTTAACACCTGATGATGACCAATTCAGTCAAAACTGTCAGTGAAAACTTTTAAAGTGACTAGCTTTTATTAAGTTTTAATAAATTGTTGCACATGAGACTGTAGAATTAAAAGCACTAAGTATATGATGCTGTCTGGTTACCTGAAAACGGCAAAATTGTGTCATAATGATAACTAACAGATGTTCTGAAAATGTGGCATAGTTCAAATATTTGGGAACGACAGTAACAAATCAAAATTTCATTCAAGAGGAGATTGAATTTGGGTATTGCTTGCTACCGTTCAGCCCGGAACCTTCTGTCTTCTTGTCTGCTATGTAAAAACCAAAGAAATCAGAACATACAAAAGTATAATTTTGCCAGTGATTTTGTATGGGTGTGAAACTTGGTCTCTAACATTAAGGTAGGAACATAGACTGAGGGTGTTGGAGAACAGGCTGCTGAGAAGATATCTGGAGTGACGAGAGATGAAGTGATGGGTTGCTGGAGAAAAATGCATAATGAAGAACATCATAACTTGTACTCCTTGCCAAGTATAATTAGAATGATCAAGTCAAGGAGGATGAGGTGGGCAGGGCATGTAGCACGATTGGGGGAGAAGAGGAATGCATGTAGGGTATTGGTGGGAAAGCCAGAAGGAAAGAAACAACTAGGAAGATGAAGACATAGGTGAGTGGATAATATTAAAATGGATCTTAGAAGGATAGGATTGGGTGATACAGACTGGATTGATCTGGCTCAGGATAGGGACAAGTGGAGGGCTTTTGAGAACATGGTAATGAACCTTCAGGTTCTGTAAATTGTTGGGAAGTTTTTAACTAGGTACACAGTTGGTGGCTACTCAAGAAGGGCTCAGCTCCATGAAGTTAGTTTATAATACCCAACATTTTCATATTTTCAAAGAAGATTCCAAACTTACATTCACTGTAATGTTAAAATGCAAACAATTTTTTGTACAATTCTGCGTAACTGAGACTGGATTAATAGTTTACCCATTGCTTTAGCCAGTAGTTATATTTCATATAGTTCACTGAATTGTAATGTAATAAATTATGAGGGTTTATTTTTTCACTTTCAGAAAGATGAAGGAAATGCATTTAAGAATCTAGGAACTGGTAACAGGATAGCTACATTTTTATTTTATGTAAGTATTTTGTCTTCAGTTGCTAATGAAAGAGGTTGGAAGGCACTTGATGGAAATGTATGGAAGACAGTTGAGACAGAGTTCTAAGGCATGTTAAATAGAAGATGATCATTTACGGATTTCATTCGTAGAATGAATGTCTTGAATGGGATTATTATTGTCATATTGTATAAATTTTAAACATTTTAAACTTAATTTTCTCTTACATTTTGACAGTTAGAGAACAGGGTGCAGAGGAGGATAAGTGTACCTGTTGGCAGGGCTTGAGATGGGGCGGGATGGCATCTGGTTCTTTTCTAAGTGGCTTAAAAGCATCCCGTTACTTCTTTGGCAGTAAATGCAATGTACAATACCTTTTTTGTTAAAAGGGGAAAACCATCCCGGTTTTATTTTCATTCCACCTCAAGCACTGCCTGTTGGAAAGGAAGTAACAAGAGGTTACAGAAAACTGCATAACAAGCAGCTTTATAATTGTACTTGTCACCAGGTGATAAATTCAAGATGAGATGGACATGTAACATGTGTGGGATGGGTGAGAAATGTGTACAAAATTTAAGTTGGGAAACCAGAATGGAAGAGACCAGATGGGGGAGGGGCTACCTAGATGGGAGGTTAATATCACAGTGTAGTGTAAAGAGGTCAAATAATGTAATATATGAGGGTGTGCACTGGATTCATCTGGCTTAGTATAGCAATCAGTGCTGGGATCTTGTGAACATGGCAGTGAACCTCAGGTTCCATACAAGGCAGGATATTTCTTGACTAGTGGAGCAACTACTGGCTCCTGAAGAACTGTACAGTCACAGTTACCACTTAACTGAACACCTTGAAATAGCAACATAAAAGAAGCTTTCTATTGAGGATTCAGCTCCTAGAAAAGATCACAGGTCTCATGGGCTCTTCGTTCTCTACTGTTACCATTCCCTCCAGATAGCAGTGTAAATACATCTTCCTCCCTTGCTCTACTACAGTAATTCTTTTGTTACCTGCTTGCAGGTCTTGTTGTTTCTAATTTATGCCTTGACACAGATAGCCTGATTTCCCCAAGCAGAAATGTCTTTCTTCTTTTCTGAATACTAAAGACCATCGGAATCACTGGTGCATGCTTAGCACACATAACCAGCACAGCATAGTGCAGTATGGTATAAAAATTTGAACGATAATCAGAGTAATTTTGTTCCAGCATTTACCATATTAGTTTGGCTTGCTTTCATAGTGTATAGTTTATTATTATATTGTGTTTGATATTGTGATATAATGGCTGAAGCTTCTGTTATGAAGAGAAATTGTGGCCGCATACAGAAAAGGAAGGAGTGTCAAATTGTGCTGTTGTGTTTAGCTAAATAAAATCGAGAAATCTCAAACAAAATGTGATTTGGGTTGCAAATGAAACATTTGTAGCAACAGGTACCTCAAGAGCCTCTGTTGTGATAACTAAAAAGGAAGCAGAGCAAGTTCCATTCGTGACACCAAACAAAAATTGGGAAAGAAAAATATGCAATCAATTCTAAGGATATGAACTCCACTTGTTCTGACAGAAATAGAATAAGATGGAAAGTTCATGAATTCTACTTCATAACTGAACTGGCAACTCTGAAATCATTATTAGCAGCCACATACAGTAATCCTGACCTACCTCATTTTAAAAGATTGGAACTTCACATTGTTCTGTAGGAAAATAATTTTTTATGAAAAAAAAGGTAAAATAAAAAAAATATATAGAAAAGAAGTATTGAATTGAATTTATTTACATTCTATAAATCCTAAGTAGGTTAGTGTTCGCATCACAAATATCTGAGACAGATTGAAAAAGAGACAGGAGTCACAGTGCAAAAGGTATGGAAAAATAAAACAGAACTCCCAGAGAAGCTTTGCAGACTTTTCACAGGGTTAAAGACTGACAGGTCACTTTTGGCAATAGTACGTGCATATAACAAAGCAGATTTATACGAAATGGAAAATTTATGTATTTGTGTAAAAGAAATACTATTGATGTACATGACAAAATGGGTTTTAAATCTTATGAAACATATTTGCACAAAAGCTGCTACCCAACATGCCTCCACAATCTATAGTTGCTGTAGAGAGTGCTTCACACCACAGCAGGAAAAGGAAAAGCTGCCAACAGAGTCTTGGGAAAAGAATAAAATATGGAAGTGACTTAGGATGCACAGTGTACCATATGAAAAGGATATAATTAATAAGGATTAAATGAACATAATAAATAGTGAGAAATGGAAATATGTTACTTGCCAAGGAGAAAGGACATACAGGAAGTATTTCATCTGCCAGCATGCCACTGTGAATTCTACTTGAACTCAGATGAGCTAAGGTGAAGCGTCATATAGGGAATAATATGGACATAAAAACAAATGGAATGGAAAAGTTAACCAGGTAAAGGTTTACCAATGTGGCAGTAGACAATTGGAACAGCTATGTGCAGTGCATAAAGGAGACTGAAGAAGAGATGTGGAAAGCAAACAAAATCCATATGGACATTTAGTCCATCATTGTGTGATTATATGACATGATGAATCTTTGTGCAGCAGGGTAGTCTTAAATATTAATGGCTTAGCATCATTCTCATGAGGAACAAGGAAATGTCAGGCTATGTTACCATTTAATTTAGTAATGTTTGGCATGTCAATAGTCCTGGTCTATCACCATCAGATATTGGCATTGTCATTCAATTTGCTTTCAGTATTGACACTTCACTTTATTGTGGCCTGTGTTGTACTTCATTCAGTGCATGACAGCTGAGCAGCAGAGCAAGCATGTGGTAACAGCATTGTCATAACTGGCATGGTCTTCAAAAGCTGCAAGCTCACTAGTCAATAGCCCATTAGTAAGGAAGTCAACAGTCTCTTTTATGTTATTGAGAAGTATTCTAAAATAACTGGCAGCCGCAGAATAGTACCTGTTGTAGTGTTACAATAATTACTACTATGTATATGAAGGCATTACTCTAATACAATCGCACCTGCTGGGTAATTTGGTGACTGGGTACCTGCACTAACTGATCTGTTTCAACTGCATACACTGCATTGCATATGGTTTAACTAACATAACATGCACAATGGCAGATTTTATTCAAGTTTTCAGTGCTGATCTTTCAGTATCTCTATTAATGCCTGTGAGAGAGATATTTGTAGAATATATTCCATTCTCTAGAGGAACCTGCTCTCTTATCAAGTATCGTTCTTAAAAAAATGAAGCAATAATTGTCTCTGTTTTCAAGCTGATGCCTAACATGTCAGGTTTCTATAGACCCATGTGCTGTCAACATGAAAACATTAAACTGGCACAATTCCAAGATCACTTTCTTGTACTCATGCTGCCTGATCAAAGAATCTTAGAAGTCAGAACCTGCTTTCTCACCATGTATGTGTTAAAAATGTCTTCGTTACCTTAGTTTGGTGCCTAATGCTACATAACCCATTGCTGAATACTTTTATGGCGGGCTCACTAATGTGGACAGAGTATTGTGGGATGTCGATGTTCTAAGAGAGCCATGTAAAACTATAACAATTGTATATGTTATTCTCGAATGTACAGAATAGTTGCTCACAAGTTTGCAGGCCCTGAAAAGGCCATTTGTTCGCCCGTGCTTGTACTAGTAGCCTTTGCTGCTTTGTAGCAGACCAGGTCTTCTTTATGGCCGTTGAGCTGGTCTGGCTGGCCAGTGAAGCGTTGCTGTGTGTGCTGGTAGGAACAGCTGCCTATGGCGCGGAGGATGATGGAGCCATTGTCTTGGCATGGTTGCTGGAGAGCTGTTGCTGCCTCATGATGTCAGAGTAGCTGCGTTAGCTGTGTTTGTCATAGTGAGGATGATTGAAGAAAAACTGTTGATAGCGAGTTTTGAGCTCTGCCTTTTATACCATGCTTGCTGGGTAGAGCTAAATTTGCATTTGTGATTGTGAGCGCCGATTGGCTAGCGCACATGATGATCTACATGTGGGCTGGACATCGAGTGCTGTATAAATACGAGTGCTGGCCGCAATGTGACATTGACTTGGCTTGACCAGAAGTTGAATGCTGTCTGTTAGACAGATGAAGCTGCGTGTTAGTATGTGGGGGTTCCCACATCATTTTATGAAATTCCAAAAACATGTATGTTAAGTAGGTGATTGTTGATATCTATGAAGCAGTTCTGGCTGCAAATGTCTTGAGAGCATTATTTTGCCCCTGTGACACTAACATAAGTGAACAATGGGATGCCTGCTGTTAATGACAATCACTGTGCCAGTCACTGGTAATTACGTAGAAGAACAGTATAGATTGTTCCATATGTTTGACAAAAGATGGAAGTGTGTCTGCAGTGTGTTACTGTCCATATACACATATTGTATTCATCTGTGCTTGGTTAGTGACAGGATGATTATTGAATAGTGAATTTGAAAGGATGTGGAAGGAAGCAGTTATAACCTAATCTGAGGCACTGTCCTGGCATTTGCCTGGAGGGGCTGAGAAAGACTCTTAGTCAGGGTGACCATTCTTCAGGTTGAAATTTGAACCTGGGACATCCTGAGTACGATTGTACAAGTGCTGCCAATGATACTGCAGTGTTCAGTGTACACTTGTAGGAAATGTGAACATTACAAACTGTGATATTCAGAGCATAGTGGCTAAAGCATTCATACATTGTTAATGGGAGTATTTTAGTAATTTTGCAACCAGTTTCAAGTGTATAGATAAAATTCTTGTGTAGGAAGTTGAAGTGCTTTCTTTTGTAATAAAATAGTTCGTTGTAGTTGTAATGTCCTGTTAATTAATGTTGATGTCTTGATCCATGACCTTTGTATGAAGACTGTGGACAATATAAAACTGAAATACAGCCATATCAGTACAACAGTATGGAGTATATGATTTAAATTATAAATTAGGAATACTTTGTTTTTAACACATTCCCTACTTTTGTGTAAATCTTTCTGGGACTTCTTATATGTTTTTTAAATCTCAAATTCTTGAGCTTTAAAATAGTGCATTATATGTACGTATACAGTAAATTAAAATATTTTAAATAATTATTGGAGCGTTTCATAAAAATTATATGTATCACTGTTCTGGTGCTGTAATTCAGTAGAGATCTGGTGCCATTCACAGATGAGTGATGTCTCTCAAGGTGGAGCCACAGTGTTTCCGCAGATTAATGTTGCTCTGAGACCTGAAAAGGGTGCAGCAGCATTCTGGTACAATCTCCATCGTAATGGGGAAGGAGACATGGATACTCGACATGCTGCCTGTCCTGTACTCACTGGCTCCAAATGGGGTAAGTTGAATTGCAACTTGCTAACAAATTATACTGCTCATATTTTCATACCACAAGTAGAGTGAGCACAGAAATGACACCATGTGGTGTGGCGTGTGGCGTGTGACTGTAACTCCTGCTTCTCATTTGAGACATCCCGAGTTTGATTTAAAATTCAAATATTTCTGAGCAGTTGAATTAGAATATAGGGCTGAATAAATTTAGTTTCAGTAGCTTCTAACATAGATTCACTGTAACAATAACTGGAACACTTTCATGTTTTATAGTAGTGTCTGTGAAATGTTAAAGAGTGGTCATTGTATGAGAAAGTGAACTTGAAGAACACAGTAGTTAAACAGACAGGATTCCCTCCCTATCCTCACGTATTCATTATCCACACTTGTACTAGATCCATATCATAAGATTTATAGGAAGCTTGTGGAATATAACGTGATGTATTCAGTTTTCATTTCTCATTTTTACAAACCAGAAATACAGTAATATATAAGCGTGGTTTTAAAATAATTAGAGTCTCAATTGCATTAAGGTATTTGTCATGTTTATATAATTCTTGACAAAATAATATTACAGTGTTTATCTTTTTTATGTACTGGTATTCATTTATATTTATTTCTTTATTGCAGTTTCAAACAAATGGCTTCATGAACGTGGACAAGAATTGAGAAGACCATGTGGTCTTATTTTTGATGCAGATTAAAACTGGTATGTGAATATGCATAAGAATAAGTTCAGTGGTAATCCTTTAAATGTCATTGCCATTAGTTGAAGACTGTTGACTCATTAATGGGATAACACAGCCTGTTAACAATGTACATAATATCAGTGAAATGGATTTGTGCTTCTTTGTGCCAGATATATATTTCTTCATGATTAACAGTGAAGATTTGTAACTGTTATTTATACTTACATATAATTGTGCCATATTGGTGAAAACTGCACCAAAACTATTTTGTAAGAATGTGTCACAAATGTTATTACCATTCTGTTATGGCACCAAGACACCTAGTATATCATTTATCCAAAAATAGACACTAGGATTGCTATGTAATATAACAGTTTCAGTCAATTCTAAAAGGTTTATGACGGCATGTAACACTCTGGGTAACTGCTCTTCACAAACTATATGTCCATCCACAGTGCAACTTATTTATTTTCTCCTCCGTTTCACTTTCACAACATCTTTCACCTGTATATGGTCATCATCGGGTGCTCTTTCGCCAAAAACTGTTCCACAGTGTGGTATATACCACTTCTATCACATATAAATACTATATGTTCTAATTTAAAATAATGGACTCTATCAAAATCGATAAAATCTAGTTCAAATTAATTAAAATTTTTCAGCATTTTGCTTTGGGGCTGTCTTTTTATCCAAACACCATTGTGTAGATTTTCTTTTTTGGATTACTTGAGCAGAGTCATGTGTGTTTGTGTGTATGTAGCTCCCAAATATTGATGTAGTTATTATGTATGCCCCCTGCCTTGAAGGCTCCTCACCCTGCCTGTGTGGTGGTGGTGGTCCATATATGTAGTCCTCTTTTTATTGATTTTTTATTATTGAGTCCATTATTTTAAATTAGAACATATCACATGTATATGTGATAGAAGAAGTTGGATGTACCACACATTGAAATAGTTTTTGGCAAAAGAACACCTGATGATTGCCATATACAGCTGAAAGATAGTTGCATTGTGGATTGCTGTACAGTTTGTGAAGAGTATATTAATGCAACAGAATGCTTAAATACATATTCTGGGTTACTAGGTTTTTGGACTTTGTCCTTCGTCTGATATATTAAAGAACACAATGTTATGGAAACAGATCCAATTTTCTAAACATTTAGCTCCTTAGAATACTAGACAGTGGACAAAATCCAGACACTTAGAGATTCCAAATAGTAATTCCAGCTTTACTAAAAAGGAGAGCACAGTTTAATATTGCTATATGTCTTGAAGTCCGTATTGCCTTTCATATTGCTAAGGTAATGTGACACACAGTTAGATGATAATTGAATCAAAGTATACCCAGTGCACTGAAGTAATTTAATGTCTGAATTTGTGAATTCTGCAGACAGTACCAATAGTTGTAAGATTTGAGGTTTTCACGGCGGTGACTATGAAGAAAGCAGTCTTCTGGGATGTGGCACCGTGTAGATGTGGTGTTAACCGACATTCCTCCGAAATGTTGGTTAACAACACATCTACACGGTGCCACATCCCAGAAGACTGCTTTCGTCAGTACCAATAGTTGCTTTGAAGACTTAAATGGATAATAATGTAATTTTTAATCTGAATAAATATATCTGAAAATATTAATTATTTTCACTGAATAAATATAGAAATTCTGCAGAGATGCATTGAGGTTCTTCCTGGAAGCTAAAGACTTTCACTTCTTTAGAAATGTGTTTATTTGGTTAAAAGTTACCCTAATAAGGGATTAAAATGACACTGATACCTGGGATACTACTACTACTATATAACTGGTAATTCAGTAATATTCACAGATGAAACAATTTCATTACATTCTGAATGCCAGTACAAAGTGAAACTGAAATAATATATTTGTTAAGAATCTCGGAATACCCTGTCATATGGCCATGTCTCGTTAGCAAATACACAGACTTAACCCCTCAGAAAGTTTCTTCCATATCTTCAACCTACAAGGTGTGGCAATAAAGAACCCGGATTACTTTTATGACTCATTTCCAGCCACGTCATTGACGAAGAGGAGGGTAGGGCATTGACCCTTGGACTTCCCTCTACCGTCACACAAAGTTTCATTCACGTGCATCGGTTAGTCTGGCCGCGACCATTGTTAGAAGCGGATCGTGTTTCTGAGCTCCGTCGGAATAATGCTGAGTGCTAATGCAGAACAACGTGCTAACATCAAATTCCTCACAAAACTTGGAAAATCTGCCACTGAAACTTACAATTTGTTGACAGAAGTATATGGTGATCAGTGTCTATCTCGCACGCAAGTTTTCGAGTGGTTTAAGAAGTTTATGGAGGGTAGGAAAAACGTCGGGAACGATCCAAAATCGGGCCGTCCTCCCACTGCGAAAACTCCAGAGAATGTGGAGAAGGTCGCTAGAATTGTTCGAAGAGATCGTCGACTGAGCATTCGAGCAATTTCTGAACTTACGAACATCAATAAGGAAAGTGTTAGACAGATTTTGCACGACGATCTGGGCATGAAAAAGGTGTGTGCTAAAGTGGTGCCAAAAATCCTTACCCCCCAGCAAAAGGAACATCGAGTGAATTGCTGTGTTGACACTCTTGAAAACATTGAAAATGATCCTGATTTCTTCCAAAACGTAATTACGTGTGACGAAACTTGGATTCTTCAATATGATCCAGAGACTAAGCGACAATCCATGCATTGGAAGAGCCCCAAATCCCCTAGGAAGAAGAAAGCGCGCATGAGCAAGTCCAAATTCAAAGCAATGATGATTGTTTTTTTCGATATCCGGGGGGTAATCTACATTGATTGGGTGCCTGAAGGTCAGACTGTCAATCAGGTTTATTATAAAAATGTTTTGACGTACCTCCGTGAACGTGTGCGACGAAGGAGACCAGACATGTGGAAGAATGCCTCATGGGTTCTTCATCACGACAACGCGCCAGCACACAACGCGCTATCTGTGAAGAGGTATTTGGCAAAAAACAACATTCCAGTGATGGAACATCCACCGTATTCTCCGGACCTAGCACCGTGCGACTTTTTTCTCTTCCCAAAAATCAAGTCTGCGCTGAAAGGGACCAGGTTCGAGTCCGTGGATGCAGTGAAAGCAAAAGCGACGCAACTCTTGAAGAGCATAACACAAGATGACCTGCAGCACTGCTTCCAACAGTGGAAAATTCGCATGGAGCGGTGTAGGGATCAGGGAGGGGACTACATTGAAGGGGATAACATTTCGACTGTCTGATTTTTTTTTAATAAAGGGTTAGAGCATGAATCCGGTTTCTTTATTGCCACACCTTGTATGCCCACTTTGTTTCTTTTGTTTATCTCTTTTCTACCTTTATCTCATTCCTGTATTCCTTTTCCATCCCATTTATCTGTCCATTCTATTGTCTTTAATCTCTTTCTTCCTCCTCCCCACTGTGTCAAAACAATGTAGGTAGGTAAACACTGCTTAAGGCTTTTATAATTATAGATGTGACAGGAACATGTGTTATCAGATGAAGCATCAAGGCTAGCAGTCCCATTTTTCACAGTACTGAGAGCCTTTTGTGAGCTCAAATATTAAAAGCCTTTTGTATTGTCACATGATATTGACTACACAATGATTTGGGGTTGGAAATGGATATTATTTGACACTTGAATACTGTTATTTACAGATATTTACAAATAATCACAATTGTTCAATCTGTTAGACTTGTTCTTGCTAGGACGGAGGTTGTCTTCTCACTGACTCTTTCTAGCATGTGCTTATATGAGAATGTGACTCACCTGGCATGCTTATTCCACATCATTGTGGACTACCAAGGAAATGCTTTGCCGAGCAGCATCTCAACTGTTGTGGTTAATGGGCATTTGTGTTTTCATCACCTGGTAAATGAATGTTTCTTCAATACTTAGAGCGGTCTCCACATTCCAAAGTTTATAGGTTATGGACGTCATGTTATAATGTGTGTCTGTGTGTGTGGGGGGGGCACACAGAATTAACATACATATTGCTACACAAGCCAGTTTAGCTGCATTTTAATAATTCTGTGAACTAATCTATAGTTATATAGCAGCTCAGGACGAGGGAACTCTCGTTTTCATGTATGGTTTCTGTTTCCTTAGTGCTGATATATATATGGGTATGTGAAGTGTAGTTTTGTTACTTACCATGCAGCACAAATTATTTTAAGAGATTGGAAACTTTTCTTTAAAACAGGAGCCCAAAAGCTGTCCATACCATCCAGTTGAACTAAATTGTATTATAATTGTTTTAATCTGAAACCAGAATAGTTCCATTTATTATATATTTCCAAAACTAAGTACAACGGTCAGCTTCATGCTCTGATCACTTTACCCCTGGGGAAAGAGCCCCCTGAAGTCCCAGAGCCAGTCTCAAAGCTGTGAAGATGAGACACATCTCTTGTGCGTGCTGAAAAATGATTGCCGATTCCTTGGCTGTCCAGCTNATATATTTACAGTTTTTAGGTCATAAAAATCCGGGCCCTAATAATAAGTAATCCTCTTGCAAACCAGATTTAACTGTGGGGCCATCTCAAAAGTTGCACATAAGTCCAGAAGTTCTAATGCATCTGTTGGATTGAATTCTGAACATAAATCTACTCTCACCTGAGGTTCATGGATTTCCTCAATCCCTTGAACTGCACATCATAAGTTTTTTAAGTATGTAATGACTGCTTCCCCACTTATCATTCTTAATCATTGTACCTGTGCTTAATTAAACAAGCACTATGCCATGCAGACATACACAGTGTGTCCAGGTTCTGTTAGGACTGTGTTCATTAAAAATACAAAACATGAATTATTTTCAAAATTTCACTCTTTTTATTCAAAATAGTTTACTTCTGAATCAAAACATAGCTGGAATCGATTGAAAAGTTTCCGAAAACAGTCACTGTACTCCTATTGTGGAGTCGCATTTAAAACTGCAGTACATTCCCTTTGGATGTCCTGGATGGTGTCGTGACGATCTCCTTTCATCACCAACTTAACTTTTGGGAACATCCAGAAATCTGCTGGAGCCAAATCTGGGGACTCTGAGATAATAATCAAATTCAATGTTTGACCTTCTGGCAGAAATTCCTTGTAAATGATTCCTTTGGAATTGAAGAAAGCGGTTAGCAGTGTCTTTACTTGACTCTTTTGCATGCGCACTTGCTTTGGTTTCAGCTGGCTTCTTTGGGCTCAACCACGCTGCACTCTGCCACTTTGTAAGAGGCTCATATTGAAAACATCATGTCTCATCACCAGTAACAATCTATTTTGCAAATTTTGTATCCCTTTGGGCTGACCGTAACATGTCTTTGCAGTCTTCCACTCTGGCATGTTTTTCATCGCCTGACAGCGCGTGCTGTACAAACCATGCACAGACCTTCCGTTTGCTCAAATCCTGGGTCAAAATTTGATGCACAGTACAGAATACTTTGGTATTCCCAAAAACTCCTAGATGAGTCTTGCAGAAACACATCTGTCTGATGCAAGGATTTCGGTCACTTTTTTCACATTTTCTTCATTGCAACTTGTTCTCAGCTTTAATGCACGTGGAGCGTCTTCAGTGTCCTCCCTGTCGTAATGAAGTACAGCATACCATCGAAAAACGTTTGAGCGACCTGAACAATCACTACTGTACACACTTTTCGTCATTTCGTACGCTTCTCCAGCTGTTTTGCCTAACTTCAAACAAAATTTGATGTTAGCTCTCCATTCAACTGCCATTTTCCAACAAGCATCAGAACACGATGCAGCGGTGTTTGCGCTTTGAAATTATAGACAGCTACAACTGAAACTTCAAGAATCTATTGTGCCTAGTGAAGGTATAGCTTCACCATTATTTAGTGTGGCATTAGATGGTGTGTTTCTGGTTGTGATGGTTAATTTTTAATATCTGCATAGAGGGATGGAGGTCCTGAAGGAACTTGTTTGGATAACTGGTAACACAGCTCATATTTTAACTTCCAAACGTGCATCAGCCTGTTCAGTATTTCTCTTTTATTTTCTGTCATTTAGGCAGGAATACTCAAACAGCCAGGTATGAAAAATAATTATTACTGTTTAGTAACTGTTTACATGCCTAAATTGTTTAATGTTTTAACAGTGGACAACAACGGTGTTTTGTCTTTCTCTAGTATGTGTGGTCTACATAGCCATATGGTTTTGTGGTGGCTGTATCTCCCACCACTAATAGACACACTTCAGGAGGACTACGAGTCATTTAAGGGAAAAATGCCTTATAAACAGTAACTGAATTCATCCCTGATATTATTTGTGTAGTATAGCACGCTAAAGCCATTATAATGGATTTATTTTCAGTCTCATTGTTGTTTGTTGTTGTGCAGAAGTGATAGTCAAATGCAACAGCAGTGCAAAGTGGTATGCATTCAAGCAGGAGGTCATTTCAGAACCTTAATTTAGTTTCAAATCCTTCAGATTGTGCTAAAGAGATCAAAGGGAAATATTTTATGTATTTTGGCCACATTACAGTGGCACTTGCCTCAATAATGATGACCAGCTGTGTTTACTGGGTATTTTTGCTTCAAGTTACCTGTAAAATATGCTCCCAAAGCCTGGGCATTATGTGGTGGGATACCCTGTAGAACAGTATTTTATTAACTCACATACACAATTCGGAATAGGAACATCACAAACCACTGCACCTAATGAAATGAGTACTACCATTTAGTTTCTCACATTTATTGTTAAAAGGTAATGAACATTAATACAACCAAAACCTTAAGCACAACAAAGACCTGAAGTTAAATGTTTCAAACATAAAATTTAAAATATACATAAGCAAACGCTTAACAATATATAGCGCAATTTTTTTTAAATTCCATCAATAAGCAGCCAAAGTCAATATTGAAGAATTATATGCATGGAACTCAATGTATGTAATTATTACTGAATTTGTTTGCATTAGAACAGAATATTAGGAACACAGTCCTATAATATCATTGCTTACGATATACTTCTGAATTACAGTGTTTTCTTACCAAAATCTTGGAGGTAAGCCTCTGCAGTACTAGACTGGAATATTACATAAAATTTATATACTCCTTATAGTAAGTTATATAAAAAATAAATTCACTGTAAGAACCCTGTTAACAGTGACCATCTACCTTTTATAATTCCCTTTGGATTCTGTCATGTTATTTTAAAAATATTTCGGTCTGTGTGCGCACGAAGAGTTACACAATTACAGGAACACTAAAATAAAGCTTATTATACATCAAATACAAAATAAAAAATATTTATGGTTTACAAGACATCAGCCAATAATGAACACAGGATACATCACACAGGTCCTTTGACATGTAACACATTAACTTTATGGGAAACTAGAAATATTGCATAGATTCTTTATCACAGAAGGGCTCTACAGAGGACCACTGTCTTGTGTATCCAACTTTTTCTTTTCCCACACTGCATGGAAATGTGTGGCTTCCATTTACATATCTCTAGCTAATGCGTCCACAGCACTTTGTGCTCAATATCCTTCTACGAAGGTACAATCTCTTGACACTTGGAAAAACATTTAAAAAATATATACTGTATATATACACAAATATTGGTACAATTTTAATTATATATAGAGACAGATCTTAAGATATACATAAGTCAAACTAAAAAATAAAACACTTCATAGGAACAGTATAATAAACATATTGCACAGTATTATTATATATTGGAATTAATGTAACAAATAACAGTGAGAATATTTAGCAGTGTGCGCATCCACTACAGGGGCTGTTGCCTTTTCTACTGAGCTGTAGCAAACACTTGATTGAATGAAGGCTACTGATCTGCCTTTCATCTCTCTCAGAATTAATTTTATGTATACAAATCACAAGGTCTATTATGGGCCTCACACTAAAGGCATCTTCATGGATGGTCCTACAGCCTGCTGCCACTTTCAACACAAGATATAACTCAAAGAAATATTAAGTAAGTACACAGACTTTTATATAAAATACCCATAATATAATTGCAGGTTCCTAACCAACAATGTACAATAAAAAAGGGGTAAACATGGTCCGGACCTCTAAGGACGGCAATATCTTCCCCAATCTCCCGTTGATAGAAGAGGCACGAAGACATGAACCTTTGTCGTTTAAAATTTTAAATAATAAGAATTTTACCAATTTTTAACTCAACAACAATTTGTCTTAATTAAAATCTTTAAAACTTTGATTGAATTTGATCTACTAGAGGAAAAAAAAAAGTAAAGCTATCTCTGTAACAGGCCGTGAAGGCCCATAGGGTTGTGAGACGTTGAGGGTCCCACACTATCTAGTGTGTTGCGCTTTACTCCCCAGGAAAATTATTTAATTAATTCCTGGTACTCATTTCTGTTAGAGGCTGAGTTGACTCCAGGGCCTAGTGCGGCTGGAAGGATTAGGTCAATTGAAAAAATCCAATGACCTCATCGATGATCAATGTAATAGCAGTTTCCTCAACATGTTGTTGTGCCTCCTAATGATGGTCGTTTACTAACCAAAACATGTAAAGGCATCATATAATAGTACATCTGAGTCACACTGAACTGTTTCAAATCATTCTATAATATCTGTATAGTGTGATGGACCAGAATGAATGAAGTTAAAATTATCAAGCTACCTTTGTGGGGTCTCCCTAGTCCTCTACGGCCTTCCATCTTGGTGAATGTTAGTTTCACACTCGGGGCATAGAGAACACCATGTAGCAGGTGTGAATTTCCTACATTCCTGCGTCTGTTACCATGCGTGTTCATAAAGTTTCATACCATAATCTAAAATTTGATGACTGGCATGCCTTCATGAGTCTTATGTTTTATTCTGAGAGATATGTAGTGCAAGGGAACTAGTAAACCTCACCCTACAAAGCTCTCATCGCAGCTGAGTAGGAAAGGCAAGCAACCCATGCAGTGAGAGCACACAATGGCAAGACACTGCTCCAGCAGTCATTAAATATCCACTTTGTACCAACATAATATAAGTATAAAAATATATACTGCAAATAAATAATGGAATGTTGAAATTCTTCAGGAAGACAAGTAAGTTATCAAGTGTATATTTACGTATTCAGCATCAATAATTTAAAATATCACTGAGGGCAATCAGACAACATCTTTTCCAAAATGTGATATTTCCTACTTGGTGCATGAAGTACATCCAAAATGCATTCTACTCCAGTAGTTGTTTAACTGCAAATAACAAACATATAAAATCTGACAGGAGATTCTGGGAGTTGTATAGGTGTCTGCTTTTTAAAAGCCAAACATTGACACAAACTTGTTGGGAACATTGATATCCAGCCATAGCTTAAATCTCATAATTACGGAATCTGTTGACAACCTCACTCGAAGCATCTGAATCCCACTGGACATTACCTCGAGCCCCCCAGTGAATATTTGCACCTCCCTCTGAAGCTCGACGCTGGGCAGCTGTAGTTGGCCCTCCACTGCGTACTGCCCCTCCTTCACCAGATTCCGGAAGCATACGATCCTTAGTCTTAAATGTCGACCAGTGCATAGACTGCAACATAGGACATGATCAATAAATATATGGACTAAAAGGAAAAAATATGGATAAAAGTATATTACAGGGTGGTCACACTTTGTGTGTGCAATATAAAAAATATGAATAAAGTTGCACTTTATGCACAATGGTTTTCAGGAACACACTCCTCACATAAAATGCGACATCACTGTCTATGGGAAAGAGAGAGATTCTAGTGCAACATTTTCTTTTCAATATCTTCTTCAATTCAAACTTATTACAATTATTTTGTTTCTTTATGAGGCCCATTTGATGCAAGCTTGAGATTACCAAATTTTCAGTTTCAAAATACAGAACACAGCATTTTTCAACAGATGAATGAATGCTGGCCATTAAACCCTGAGATTCAGGGCTCACTAACAGATATAACATAAAGTGACCTAAATTCAATCTACATTCTCACAACTTATTTCCCTAAGATTCAGACCAATATTATCCTCCAGTCTCCTCAGTCTTCCAAAGCATGCTTTCATTGGGATTTCATCAGCATAATTCTGTATCAATTTATTGCTTCTTCCAACCAATCTCACCACAGTAACCATCATAAGCAGGCAGGAACAAAAAGCATCCTAACAATTATCTTTAGCATAAACAAGGATTCCTGGCAACCCTCAAATTCATATTTCTGGACTTACAGTTTACTGAATATCAGAACATAATGTGTGCTTCTTGTATCAGAAATCTGGACCTGAAATATGTTTCATTATACAAATTCTAACTTATTAAGTAAAAACGTACAAATTCAAAGTACTTACAGCATGGACATGTTCCTTCATACCAAGCCACTGTTTGTAACTAACTGCAATGCCACTTTTACGCCATTTATCATAATTACTTCGTTTCTCTGGATCACACAACGTCTCTTTCGCTTCCTGAAATTAACGAACGAGACTGTGCTTATATAGATCATAAATTCACACAATTCAATATATATGAATTTGCCATACGCCATAGCAATGTTCAAAATAACTGACCAGTTTAAAAATAAATGGGCGTCTATCCTATTATACATAATACGCACTTTCAATTTTTGGAACTTTTCCTCAGCTTCTTTATTCCCCTCATTCTTGTCTGGGTGAAACTGCAGTGCCTGCACCTTATATTCGGCTGTAATCTGCTCTGTCTGCAAATAAAATCGTGTATTGTACCATACAACGTTATTTGTGCTTCCAATGAATCTTGACAGTTCCGAGTGCACATTCTTCTGACGTTTGAGCAACAATTTCATCCCAAGACTTTTATAACACACATGGTTGCAAATCACTGCAGGACCCAATTCAAGCCTCAATAATACGTAATGTAAAGAATGAAAAAATACATATCCGCACATTTCACTCTGACACTTACCGTAGCTGACTCGTCACACCCTAAAATCGCATAATAATCTTCTTCTTCTTTGCGAGTATAGTTCAAAATACTATCCACATTTGTCATTATCGATAAATGGATATTTGCACGTATGTAGCACTTGTATCCCTCAACACACCTTTCTGCTGCAACAGAACAACTCTGTCGAACCCCTGAACCACCTGGGAAAATCCCGGGGAAATGTCAAGGAATACTAACACCTTCAGATACAACAAATTCGTAATTAGTTAAATGAGCTTGAAAATTGCACGCTATGTGTCAAATGCATCCATTGGCTACGTGTTCCAAAGAGGTTAGAATTTATCCAATCATGAGCTGTATTAGAAAATCACTTTTCATTCCTATGTACCTCATTGATGGCAGCACATGAACGACATAACCTGGTGTTCCACTGACGTACCACTTTTACAAATCTTCTGTGGTGTCACACATGGAGTGGTATTGCGGGAAATTTAAGTTTATAATGTTAAGCATAAATGAGACTTTGAACGTATGTACTCGCAGCTTACTTAACATCTGTACCGGTCTGTACAGGGTAATATTTAGTAATACAGACAAAAGCGAAGTATATGTCCACAGTTATGTATATTCATTATGAAGATCTTTGTGATATGACACCGTATAGTGAGGTAGAAATATACCAAAGATTGGAAGGAACCTGCTGCCTTCATCTTCAGGGGAGAAGAGTATTTTCGTCACTTATGTCGTGAGTAAGAGGAATTTGTAGTCACGAATAGGAAGAAAATAAGACAGTAATACATGACAGTGGAAAGTAAGCGTGAGTCAGTATTTCAGTATCTGCATTTGCCAAAAAGTTCATATAGTATCAGTAGATAGCAACACAATGTGGTACATACTGTTATGCTATCAAGTTTCCAAACTTAAGTGCAGTCAGATAATAAAGCAAAAACAGCCCTTACAAACATGTAAGTATTATACAGTAAAACAAAGCCATATAAAATATTATATGCAGTCATAAACTTAGAGCCAACCCTTTTGATATTTACTTTTTAATTATTGTAGAAAGAATGAACAGAAACGATAGCATAAACTCATCAAGTTAAGAGACAAGAAAATGCGTGGCTGAAGCAGCGTGCAGAACCCTCCAAAATAAAAAATCTTATGCTTACAATCACAAATCAGTTTGTGTAATTATTGTGGAATATCAACAATAATACTCAAAACTGCACAGACTACATTAATATTTATCTAAGTTACGTTTGTAAGCAAAGAGTGTCTAGAGGTACTACTTCAGAATGACTTAAACATTCAAAGTGAAATCTCTTTATAGAGATAGTGAAAAACCTTGCATCACACACTAATTTTATTATCAGCTACTTAGAAGGTTATATGTAAAATGAAATAATATCCTTGCAGAAGAACCATTTGGGTTTAGGTAAGATCTTAAAATGGATAAAGATATATACAAAATCACAGACAAAATTTTGTATATAACTTACAACAACCTGGGACCTCACTAAAGCATTTCATTTTGTGAATCATGAATTACAATTATCTAAACTAAATTTTTATGGAATTTGAGAAATAGGTGAACAGCAGTTTACATCTGTTATTTAATGCCAGCAAACGAGAGGTAGAAACAAAATCTGCAAATTGAAATTATAGTTGCTACTTGAATATGGTCGTTGCAAAAAAAGAAGTTTTCTCATAAACACAAATTTTCTGCCTCCAACTATCAGTTCTCAATTCAAACCTGTATTTTTTGCTGAAGATGCCAGTACTATTATTTTGCATGCAGTAATTTGCTGCTTTCAAGATTGCTTTACCAGCTTGAACAAATATCTGACAAGACAGACTCCACAAAATTTACTATAAACAACAAAGTTTGTGTTAATCTAAATGTAGGTTAAAACAACTGAAGAGCAGGAACAACTGAATTTCTTGGTATACATTAACTTACACTGGAGAAGTTACGTTGAATATACTGGTATTTTACATACATTGCTATGAGGACAGACACATCACTCACAAAAACATATACCTCATAATTAAGTTAATATATTTTGCTTATTTTTACTCCATTATGTCACTGAGATATCAGAAGAAAATCTACTACAGAGGAACCATTTACCATTAAGAGTTTAACTCACTGTTTCTCTGTTGGTGGTACTTGACAGTCTGTTGGTAGGGACGCAAGACCTCAGAAATAAAGATTTTCATTAATGCTTAATATAACACTAAAATTGACACAATTTAAGAAATATGTTTCTTAAAAGAAGAGAAGTTTTGTTTTTACGCAAAGGGCTGGGAATCACTGTTTTGAATAATGACATATAAGCATTTAATTCAGCATTAAATATTGTGTCTTGCCGTTACTCCTATTCTGTAGAAAATTCAGTTCAGTTCAAGATGATCTGTATTGCAAATTTATTAAGCAAATATTTTATATTTCAAGTTTGTACAGTAGTGGCTATGAAGAGTACTTTCTCTGATATGTGACATCTTATAGACTAGTGGGAGTTTACTTACGTTTCGGAGGAACTAACTGCTTCCATCTTCAGTGTCAAAGGATAAGCCAAGCAAACAAGAACCTTGCTGCAAACAGATTGATTCTCACAGCAGTGACTTTGAATGACACTGTCTTTTCCTAGATGTTATCAAGGTTTCAACTCTGTTTGTGCTTTCTTATTTTTGCTTAGCTTACTCTTCGCCCTTGAAGATGGCGGCAGTATGTTCCTGCGAATCGTTGGTAGACCAAATTACACAGCGTCGCATAGTCTTCAAGGGGGAAAAACCCAGGAATTCTGTGAAATATTTCTTTGATATGCCAATAACTGTTCTATTATGTGTTGCAGAATATACTTATAAGATTTCTGTAAATATGCAAAATAACCGTGTATTTATATTGTATTTACATATTCTACATCCTTGGAAAAGACATGTAAGAAACTACTGAATATAAACAAACTAGCATTATAATTGTACTATAACAAAATACGATGCTGATAACGGCAACTATCTTAATTAAAGTAACTGGCACAGGCGCGTGTGTCTTGCTAGTTTCTTGCTTCGCTTATACATCGACCCTGAAGATGGGTGCACACGTTGACTTTTACCGGCCTACATGGCGCTACATCCCAGAAGACAGTACCCCTCATAGTTACCCTTGTGAGAATCTTAAATCCAGCACTTTGTATGTTCTTCGCAACATTATTGCGGTTTTCGGACGTTAGAAGTGAATAGCTGTAGAGTACATTGTTACTTTCTGGCCGTTAAAACTGGGGTGGCACTCTCTTAGTATGTTCGAAAATTCCAGGGGTGACACAGATCGGTTGGACAAGGAGGTTCTGAAAATCGAGAATGCTTCCGTTGCAGAACAGACGACACCGCCAGCAAAGCCGGTGATGTTTCAGTCTTTTCAATCGTAGACATAGCAGGACGGGAGAAAGAAGACCGATTCTTCCAGAAACAGGAGGTAGCAAGAGTGGGGTGAAATCTCCCATCATCTGGTGCTGTTAAAAGTTGAGAGTTAGCCAGAGACAGTGAAGCAAGCTCGCGAGAAGGCTGGCAAGCGGAAGGAAGGTTTTCCGCTTCTCATTGCCAGCGGGAGAGTCGAAGTGGTCGCAAGCCGCTGGAGGAGACAGCAACACAGTACGACTTTGCGATGACTCGAACCACGTGTCCTACCGAGAAAGTAGACTACTCGAATCTAGCTCTGAACGATGAATTGTTCAGAATCTGAGATTTGCAAGGACTGCACATTTGAGTGACAGTGACGTATGTGTGTTGACACTTCTTGGATACTGCTTGGAAATATAAACATTTTGCAGTATTTTATTAAGTATAGGCCTTTCCTTTTATACAAGTGCGTTTCTATGTAATTTGAAAATAACGTACACTTTTGTGGAGTTATTGCATACTTATTGAAAGCACTATAACAATAGTTTATATGTTTCCGATCAAGTAATTAATAATATTATGATTATGAAAAAACAGTGTTTGAACATGAAGCCCCAAAGTTGCTAGCCAAGTTCTCGAGTGCTTGTTTTACATTTATCTGTGAGAGGAGCTAATGATTTTGACACGCGGATGTGACAGCACAGTAATATCGCAATTAATATTCGAAGACTTCACCCGAGTGTTTGTTCGTATATGGCCAAGTTGCAGAAGCGCTGAGAGGTGTATATATTACTACGGTCCTTGCATGTGTAATGAAAACCCTAAGCCGGACACTGCTGGAAAACATACAAAGCAGGAAAGAAGAGATATCACGTGGACATCTTAGTCAACGGACGTAAGGAACAACGATTGCCCCACCCACCCACAGCTGAGGACAATGGAAGCTCTAGGTAAGAAGAAGCTCGAGAGGGGCATGTTAAACAATTAGAGGACGCATTAGGTAATCTTCACACAACTTATCTTAGGAGAGTTCTAGAATCTTAAAAGCATAATCTTGTTCCTTTTTCGGTACTACAGAAACTGAGATGAAAGTTGTCTAGTAGCGACTTGTCATATACAACCATTTGTTTGTTTGTTTGTTTTCTGCCAGTCTGTGGTGTGTTTACTGCGCTGCTAGTGTTTCGTCCTGTCGGAAGCTTTTTGTGTCCCTTCTGCACAGCAGTACAATAGGGTCGTGAAGGGGTGGGGGTGATGTACAGGTGTAAAATCCACAGCTCGTCACTGTCTCCAGGTCTGTCCCTCACCCGGACATTCTTGCGTGACTCTCCGAAGAGTACGGTGAGCTGTGAGTCATCTGTCCGGTGTGTTGTGAATGTGCATTGTTGAGTGTTACGCAGTACTCCCATCTTCAGGGCTGGCAGGTATGAAAACAAGATTGGTTACCTTCCAGGAAAATATTATTTTGAAACGTCTTGTGAAGTTGCAGTTTATTTCCTGGAGTACTCCTGTATTATATTTTTCTTTTTTTTTTTGTTAGGTCTATATTATCAACTCCAGTGCTCATCTTTGTCCCCAGTGTGCTTGTGTCATTTTGGTTGTTACTGGGCTTATTAAAACAGGAGCTTAGTTTTGAAACATCTGCGGTGAATTTATGAATATAAGTTGTAATATTTACACGTATCTGTCAGATGTTGATTTCCGTTCAAGAAATTACGCTACAAAAAGTTATTGATTTTGAAATTGTGATTAGATTTGGAGCCGATCACGGTGGCCACGCGGTCTAGGGCATGAATTGTCTTCGCTCGCTCGCTCACAGGGATCGTGGGTTCGAATCCCATTCGACGCATGGATGTCTGTGTGAGTTTATTCTGTGTTTATGCTGGCCTGTGTGCAGGTAGCGGCCTTGCGACGGGCTGATCCCCCGTCCAAGGTGTCCTACAAACAGTGTAAAGACTCAAGAAACTGAAAAAACGGCCAAGGCCCAAGAAGGGCTCTAGAGCCATAGATAGTAAGCATAGATTTGGTATTCTAAGTGGTACTACATACTTAAGTACTCATATATAAATTATTTTCAATGCTCAATTGAATGTTGTTGAAAAGACAGTGAGTATTATTGCGATTGAATGCTTGCAGTAGGAACTGTTCATTCGGAATTAAAATATTCATCGTATGAATGGAACTGGACAGAAAAAACAAAAAGTATAGAAGCTAATGTTTGTGATAATGATAATAAGCATCCGAGATAGCTCATGGACTGGATGGACGGGGTTCAATTTCCAGTAGAAGCAAGAGATTTCCTCTAGTCCACAATGTCCAGACCGGCTTTGGGATCCACCCAGCCTCCTCTCCAGTGGGTACTGGGGGCTCTTTCCCTGAAGTGTAAAGCAGCCGGCGTGTCAAGTTAAGCACTCCCCCCATTTAGAGCCGAGCTCAAGAATGATTGAGCTGCACCTCCATTTCCCCATAAGTTTTCACGGTATGGTGTTTAATTGAATAAACAAGACAGCTTTACATTTATAACATAATGATAATAAATGACGTCGGAGTAAAGGAAATGGATGCTTTAGTTTCTGGTCTTTATTTATAATGTTTGCTCATCAAGTGAAAAATTAAATACCATACAATAGAACAAGGTTCTATTAGACGCTGGTTAGGAAGAAGGTATACGTCATCAGACTGTAGGATAAAATCATAACACTTTATTCTATTATGGCTTTACAGTCCTTTGTTGGGCCTTCTCCAGTTTCGTAATTTATACACAGTCGGTAGGACTCCTTGGACAAGGGATCGGTCCGTCGCAAGCCCTCTACCTGCAGAGAGTACAACACAGACATCCATGCCTCGAGTGGAATTCGAAACTACGATCACAGCGTTCCAGCGGGCGAAGACGGTTCATCCCTTAGACCGAGCGGCCGCTGTGATCGGGAGATCACAATAGAGAACTATAAAAGTAGGAAGTAACTTCTAAATGCAGCATGAGTTCTGGTATTTGGGGACATCATTGACAAATCAAAATTACTCACGCACTCACTCATGGGGCAGAGCCCTTCTTGAGAACCTGCCAATTGTGCAGCTACTCAAGAACTTCCCAGCATTTTATGAAACCTGAAGTTTCATTAGCGTGTTCACAAGAGCCTTCCAGCGGTCCCTATCCTGAGCCAGATCAATACAAATCCATACCATCCCATCCTATCTCTCTAAGATCCATTTTAATATTGTCCACCCACCTAAGCCTTGGTCTTCCCAGTGGTTTCCTTTCTTCCGGCTTTCCCACCAATATCCTATATGCATTTCCCCTCTCCCCGTTCGTGTTACATGCCCTGTCCACCTCATTCTCCTTGACTTGATCATTCTAATTATACTTGGAGAAGCGTACAAGTTATGCAGTTCTCTCCAACCTCCTGTCATATCGTCTCTTTTCGGTCCAAATATTCTCCGCAGCACCCTGTTGCGGATGGAGTAGACGCCCTCCAGGTACGGAGGAATGCTGCGAATATATTGAATAAGCAGTCGCGGACAGCCGACAAGGGATGATCTTCCAGCTTGGCGGTTGAGCGTGGGGCTAACAACTCCTCATCATAAAAAATAGGCTTGTTACGAAAATGTTCACAAATCCTCGGAAATCACAAGAACAAACACTAGCTGATCAGTAATATAATGGTTTAGAAGGAATGAGCGAGTGACGCTACCGCGCATGCGCGAGCTCTCCCGCGCTACTGCATTAGTTACCTGAAATAAAGGCTTACTTTCCGAATAGCACTCATCTAAGTCGTCCCTGCTTTTATCAGCTTCTTGTTAAAGTTTTAGGGAGCGTAAAGATATTTCTAAATAGCTTTGTCCTCAGGGAAGCTTGCTTCGGGTTCTGACTGTTGAACCCCGTGGCCGTCTGGATGTGGAGCTGAAGAGGCAAGATCTGCGGTCCCTGGAATCCGATTCCAGCGTCCAGTCCGGCGGTGCCTGTTACATACTGGGCATGCATGCCTGTAAAGTGTAAAGTGAGATTTGTGGACTCGGAAGAGTAGAATGTTCCACCCGTCATTCCGACTTTGACACGTAACTTTTAACTTCGATTCATGGCTGCAGTGTCTAGAAAACACACTGTCGGCTGATGGCGGTTTAATAGCATTTGTTCCCTCTCCTCAGGACAGGTTCTATTTTCCAGGCTTCTAAGCAGACCATCCGCCCAGAAACATCTGTCTATACAGTCACTGTACTGCAGTATATCCATTCTGCGGAGATTGTCGTGTCTTATGCATACTCGTACGAAATCAAAGTTTCCGTTTGTTTTCATACATGGTTTGAAATGCAGTTGCTGTTACTTCTGCAAGAAGGTAGTGAAAGCCATTCATAGTTAACTCTTTTTGGGGTAAGTTTTAAATTTGGTTTAATGACAGGGCGTAACGTATCCCCTTTCGTTATTTTGAAAAAAAGTAGAAGTAGGCTTATAGTATTACCTTGCACCTCCGATCAGTCTGTGTGTCTGTAATGTGTATCCCCCTATAATTGCTAGGCAGCTGCTAGTTAGACACGTTCCCGCTGCAAAGAATACATGAAATAATAAAAGAATTGTTGGAGGCGTCGTTTTCTATAGGGTCCGTGTGGCACCAAACGAAAGTCTGTGGGTCTGTGTATCCTCCTGCCGTTGCTAGGCAAAGGCTGGTAAACACATTCCCGCGGCAATGAAGAATTTTTGGAGGCGTCGGATTCTATGCGGTCCTTGTCGTATCGAAGAAATTCAGCGATTAGTTCTTATTAAAACTTATTATTTAGGTTATCGGGACACTTCTAGAGAATGCAGCAACTTTTCGAATTGTTAATCTATTGAAACATGTCATCAGAACAGTGATCTACAAAACGACTGTAAACAGTTTTAGTTTTTCTTGCTGAAGAAATCGCTAACGTTGCTCTTGTACAGCGTACACGTGCTTATAGCCATTGCGTCGCTGTTTGCAGCGTTGTTGCTGTTGTTCTTCACAAAGGACAGACCCTAACAGTTTTGCACAAAGACCTGCCCTTCCGTTGACTGCACGCTGAGATCTATGAAAAGTAGAGAATGTGACAAATACTTATTGCGACCCAGCATAAATAACTTTCCTTGGTCATTGTCATTTGTAGTATTTCTTCCTGAAGAAGACAGTTTAGCAAGAGAATGAAAGCATGGTCCTGTGCATGAATAAGATCTTTGCGAAAAATACTGCGAAAATTCTTATATAATGTTGAAAATAGAGTCTTATTGTTATTTTCTTTGAATTAAGAAATTGAAAGGCTCATTTTCATTCTGACAAAAGCATGGATAGGAGAAGACTGGAGTAACATAGCTATATATACTACTATAGTCAGTAAGTTCGTGGAATGACCGCAAAGCGCCATACGGGAATTTACTGCCAATATGTTTCTGCAAGGCATGTACTGTCTTCGCTCGCTTGGAAACCGGCATCGTGGGTTCGAATCCCACTCAGGGCATAGATGTTCAGTTTGTGTGTGTGCGTTTTTCTGTGTTTGTGTACAGGTACAGGCCTTGCGACGAGCTGATCACCCGCCCAAGGAGTCCTACCGAATGTGTAAGATCTAGAAAAACCGAAGTGAACGGAGAAGTTCATGGAGGTAGGCCTAGGGTCACTGGGGCTATAGTTCCAAGGGAAAAAAATGTTTCAGCAATGTTTTCGGCAGCTATATCAATGTTGGCAGACTTGCACAGCGGCCAACGGCAACTACTCTGAGGGCCGAGGTGGATCTGCGTAAGTGTATGTGAATACCTTATAATATGATGCGATAAAACCACAGTCCACGAACTTAATGACTCTACCACGTATATTAGGAATCCTTGATTAAAGTTTACGTTTTTAAAACGAATGAAGGCTAAACATCTTATCCAGCGGAACCAGAGGATTTTTATTGGCAGTAACTGCGGCTGAAACCTGAATCTGTTCACTATCCGCCGCCTAGTTGCTATGTTTCTTGCTTTACAGTATGTGTAATTAAGAAGAGAATAGACTTATATTATGAGGACACATTTAGGGTACATTCATTTTCGAATGATTGATTCGTATGCTATGGAAAGGGTGTGTTTCCGTAGCAGAGGTTTCATACCGTCAAATGTGTTTGAGAGTTGATCATGCTTTGCCTGTTAAAGCACTGCTCTGCATTAGCATGGAGAAACTTAGGAAATAAACGAAGAAATCCAGCAATCCGGCCGAGATTCGATCCGGTGACCTACCGAATCACAAGTTTACACCAAATCTTAGTGGTTTATATTATGGAGATAGTTCTATGCCGTTTAAGGACATTACTCATTTTCTCTTCCTCATTTGAAATGAAGTAGACCTACTAAAGTTTAACTGCCCCCAGAAAAACGTTTCTGAGTATCATCTCTTCGGCATCTTACCAAATCTAGGAATAGAGGCCCCCAAAATTTAATGTCATTATTTTCAGCTTTCTGAAGTAAAAGATCTATATTAAAGGACAAGGTCATTCTTGCAGTTATTGTGGATTATTGTCGGTTAAGTTATAAGCTATATTATTACAGCATTGAGTTTATGCCAGTTTATAGCATCGTGTTTGATTAAATGTCTAGCAACAAGCCGATCACAATGGCCGGCCGCGCGGTCTTCGCCCACTCGAACACTGGGATCGTGGGTTTCAATCCCACTCGAAGCACGGATGTCTGTGAACGTTTATTCTGTGTAAAGGTAGCGGCCTTCCGACGGGCTGATCTCCCGACCAAAGGGTCCTATCGACTGTGTATAGATTCAAAACAAACTCCGTGATTTTAGTCCACAAGCGAACTATACCGACCTAGCGACCGCCGCTTGTCGGCGAAGTTCAGTGCCAACTTTTGTGGATAGAGGGTGTCACGTGGTCAGTGCAAGGAATCCCCACGGCCGTCAATTTCGGTTTTCTAGACCAGCTGTGTATAGATTATAAAACCGAAAAAGCGGCCAAGATCCAAAAGGGCTGTAGAGCCATTGATAGATAAAAACGAGTAGATAGACAAGCCATTGTTATAAGTAACTGTTCACAAACCTGAGTGGAACCGATCCAAGGTGAATCATATAGGACTGTTAAGGGTTCGTGAATAAATTAAGAATTGAAGAGGCTTCTATTTTTCTAAGTAAAACGCAAGTTCTTTCCGTTTTTAGAGGTAAATTAGAAATGGTATTGGATCAGTAATGCTAATGAGTGATTCGAAACCGCTATGAAGATTGGCAGGGGAAACCCCACCCCAGCCCCACTTTGTCCACCACAAATCCCACTTGACCAGATCCGGGATCGAATCCGGACCGCCGCGGTGGGAAGCCAGCGACTAACCGCTTGAGCTATGGCGCGGTCTTACAAACGTAACTAACTTTAAACTGTCTAAATTAATGAATCAGAGGCAAATAAACCTTATAGAAAGTATACAGAATTCTCGGATTAAGCAAAAACAAACTTTATCGAATATAATTTCTGATAAAGTTGAACAAATTACGACGATAGAAGAGAATTACATATAATTGTATTGCACAGTCTCCGCTTGATTACTACAGTCACAGTAATATTGAAAACATGCGGCTTTGGTTATGCGAAACATGTCAGGATATCTATGCTTAACATACACGAATTCTCCTTTCTTCTTGAAACTATGACACTCAAATTACTGAGTCAGATTTTTTTTTTTTAATTAGAATGGAAATCTCACTGCTCTAATGCTCTACATTAAAACTTTTCGCCTAAAGGAATGTTAGGAATGATGAATAATATTCTCATAGGAAGCCAAAAACATGATAAATGCGTTTACAAGATTGGTAGTCTAGTATTTTCTGAATGGCGAATAATGATTGGGTCGCTGACAATGACTGGGGGTTTTCGAGGCTACCTCGGGCTCTGTCTTGTGTACCGCTACATAAATTCTGCGGCTGAAGAGCCCTGATAAGTAGCGTAAGGATAATACATATTTGTCATATGAATTCATTTGTTTTTTTCTTTTTATATTTTCAGACAATCCGTCGTACTTTTCTCTTCCTGGGTGTTCGACGTCACGTATTCCGGCGTCGACCTCACGAAGTCCATTCTCTCTACTGAAGCGTCGTGGCGCCAATATCCGTAATATGGGCGCCAATACATCCTCGGCTTCCTGCTCATCGTCGTCGCTGGGCCACAGCTCGGCGCCCACTACTCCCACGACTCCTGAAGCTGCAGCAATCCCGTTGCTGCCAACGGCTCCCGTCCCCTTATCTTCGCATTCCCATCACAGAAGAAGTTTCCGTTCCTTGCTGCGTTCCATGAGTGCCAACCATCACCATGGTTCGGCAGTGTATCAGTTACAACATCAGCTCCTGGTCCTTGGTGAGCCCCGGCCTTCGGATATGGCACCAGAGTCTCCTTGTTTGCCGCATCATAATCTCCACCATCCTTCCACTTCCTCTTCTAACAAAGATGATCACCATCACCAGCATCGACGAAATCAAAGTAATAAAAGCGTCAAATCTCAAAAATCATCAATGGAGCTTTTAAACAGTGACATGGTGTATTGTCCAGTTCCTGATACCCCAAATTCTGCACCACCTCCAGTGCCCACGGCTGCTGCCTCCGAAGAACTGCTCAGTGGATCTCCTGAAGAAGTCTTCCTTGGCAATGGAGATGCTCATTATTATAACATGACAGCAGTCATGACGATTCCTTTGCCCGGTTCAAACGGCAACACTAGCAGACGGCGTCATTCCATAGGTACGTTTCTGAATAGAGACCGTGGTAGTTACGGCTCCTTACACAAGACCACAGCCACTAAACCTGTTGCTACTGGTAAGGGTGAAGCTGTTCTAGCGGCCAGCAATGACATATCGCAGAAAATGTCTGCAGGAGGCAGTGGAAACAAGGGAATCAGGACGCAAGATGCTGTGACACCACCAGTGGGTCCGGGTGGTTGTTCGCCTTCCGATTGGCGCCATCCTGCTGCAGCGACCTCAAAAGTGGCAGCGGATATTACTCGCTCGGCCCATTCCAGGAGGCGGTGTAACAGATGCTGCAACATCAAGGGTAAGTGTGACTCACTAAAAGATGCAGGCGAATGTTTAACTTTATTATTTTGTCACGTCTTGTGCGACAGATGTTATCAAGGAAGGAAATACGAATTGTAAGGATCCAAAAGATGCCATCCAGTTAAATGACGATTTGACGTACGTTTTGACGAAACTGAAATAAAGTTAAATTGTAAAGTTATCCCTTTGCTTAATTAAGCACCACTTCTTGAAGACGTATGGAGGAGTGGGCGTATAGATCCACCATTCTTGACCTCGGCACTAAGTGGAGGTGAGTAGTCAGTTCCACTCCCCGGCTGCTTTACCCCTGGGGAAACAGCTCTCGGTACCCAATGGTTAAGAGGCTGGGTGTGCCTCAGAGCCGGTCTGGATGCTATCCCTTGCTCCTACTTGCAATCCAACCTCGTTGTCCAGCCCTTAGCCCGTACCGAAGTAGTACTAACCCCATAAAAGTAAAGTAAAGCTATCCCTGTACCAGGCCGTGAAGGCCCATAGAGTTGTGAGACGTTGAGGGTCCACACTATCTAGACAATCGGCTCAAAGATTGCGGTAAGGTTGTATGACTTACGCGCCGGCCGCGCTTTACTCCCCAGGAAAATTATTTAATTAATTCCTGGTACTCATTTCTGTTAGAGGCTGAGTAAACCCCAGGGCCTAGTGCGGCTGGAAGGATTAGGTCAACTGAAAAAAAAAAATCCAATGAAACCCCATAACATGGAATAACAAAGAAAGTTTTTACGTGCACAAAAGTCTTAAATGCTGCTTAAGCGTCAGTTAGGGCCTACGTAGCTCAGTCAGTTCAGTGACTTGGCTGTGGTTTGGACAACCGAGGAATCGGGTCTGGATTCCCGAAAGGGAAAGAGATTTGTCTCTTGTCCATATCAGCTCTAAGGCCCATCCAACTTCCTATAAAATGGGTACCGAAGACACTTTTCTCAGGAATGAAGTGGCAGAGGCGTGAAGCTAGAATTTAGATACAAGATAAAAAATGTTAGAAGCTCTGCCCCACTCCTTCATATATCACCATTATGTGACGCACAAGGATAACTTCACCCTTTGCCGTTGTGTATTAGGCGCCATGTTATGTGGGTCCATTGTCACCAAGTGACGGCCCATCCTTAGTTTGGAGCCGTTAAAAGATGGTGTTCAGAAATGGAGGGTAACTGCGAATGTAATGTATAAACAGCAGTGAACAGCCGACAAGGAACAGTTCTCAAACCTCGGGAACGGGTTGCGAGTCCAACAGATACTCAGTGTGTAAGAAACTGGCGTGCGTGCGTGCGTGCGAAATGTTACAGAGGACCTCAGACTCTTTTCGAGTGCCCCAGTGAACCTGCGGGTTCCATAAAAGGCCGAGAATTGCTTGACTGGCTGAACGATTATATTCACATAAAATTATTCCTATGTGAAGTTAGCTACTGTATTGAATGACGAAATGATATGTTGAATTCCGCTCTACCACCTTTCACAACACTTCTTATTATTTTGAATATGTACAGCCATAAGTTTTTTTACTGAGCTATTTGTGTAAAAATTATAATACAATTTTGAACATCTTTTATGCCTTTCTTTTCCGTTATTTTAATATTTTAGATCACTTAAAAATTCTTTTATAATTTCAGTAAAATTGGTGTAATGACGAGACCATAAATATCATTTACAGTATATCGACGGGCCACGGCCTGGATATCCGGGGTTCAATTCCCGGGAGGTGCAGAAGATTTTTCTGTACTTCACAGCGTCCATATCGGCTCTGGAATCCATCTAGCCTCCTATCGAATGGGTGCAGGGGGCCGTTTCCCCGTGGGTAAATTGGCTGGGGCGTGGATTTGACCAATTAATTATTTCTCATGCAGACATCAAGAATTGTGGAGTTATACCTCCACTCCCCCATGTCTTCAAGGCGTGGTGGTTAATTAATTATGCACAGGAACAACCTTAGGTTTCCCCAGGTTTTGGCCACACCATAGCTCAAGCGGTTAGTCGCTGACTTCCCACCGCGGCGGCCCGGGTTCCATCTCGGGTCTGGTCAAGTGGGATTTATGGTGGACAAAGTGGCTCTGGGGTGGGTTTTTTTTTCCGAGTATTTCGGTTTCTCCTTCCAATCTTCATTCCACCAAATTCTCCATCATCATAATCACCCGGGGCAGGCTACAATAGGCCAATCAGTGGCCGCCGTGCCGAGTGGACCCAGTTGGACTCCACCCCCCCCCACTAAGCGAATTAAAAAAAAAATCTTCATGTTTTAATGGAAATAGTTACATTCGTGACTAACAGTCCTGACGGTGCTATAGAACTCTTTCTTCTCTCCTTTTATATCCCAGATGCTACGGATTCAAACAATTAACTTGACGTCCGATTAAACAGAGAAGCATGGTTAAGTACGCACTTGGCTGTTGTAGTGTCTACGTCCCTATTCACACAATAGATCCGGCCTTGTGCTGGGTTCTAAACAAGAAAAGAATCGGTAAACAAGAGCGTGATAGGGGTGTGGTTAACAAAGAATTTGACTAGAGGATCATCATCATCATTATCTTCATCAATTAATGTTTCCACTAGGGTGAATCATCTGATGACACAACCTCTTCACTCTTCTATCATCCGCGCTCGCCCTACTTGTACCAGTTTCCATTCTTGCCTTCAGTTATTTTGCCCATCTGCAGTCAGTTGTCTCTCCACTCAGTCCTTCATAATTTATTCGACAATTTTAATGCTGTCTGAGGAGCCCCAATAACGCTAGCCCCATGGATCAAAGGTCTTCTTGATGAACTTTGCTTATAATCGTTCAACTAAGTCCTTCAATCGGGAGATTTCCGGTCTTATGAAACAGGGAGATTCATTGCTGTGTTCACAATAACTCACCACTCTTCCAGATTAATACTCCTCACATCCTATTCGTTTGGAGACCTCAGCTGTGCAGTTCCCGTCCTACAAATTTGATATTCGTTTCTCATTTTCCCTATACGTGACATGTCACTGAGCAGGTTCTTGTACTCGGGCAGTGCTCGTTCGGAATTTTACCTGGAACACCGGCTATCCTGAATAAGATGTTTTGTAGTTTTCCTCAGTCTCTCCCTGCAAATGTCAGAAGCCGCTATCGCTTCCTTTCACATCGATTGCAATTTGCTAGTCATCAGTCCTATCAATCGGGACTATCGGCCTCGGCACCGAACCGCAATACGCTATTCAATCCATCCTCTTTCCATTTCGTCTCCCTAAGAATATCTGGGCCGATCGCAGTGGTCGCGTGAACCGTCTTCGCTAGCTCGAACACTGACGTCCTGGGGTTGAATCCCAATCGAGGCATGGATGCCTCTGTGTGTAGGTAACAGCCTTGCGACGGGCTGATCCCCCTTCCAAGTAGTCCTACCGACTGTGTACAGGATTAAGAAACCGAAAAAGTGGCCAAGGTCCAAGTGCTGTAGAGAGCGAGAGACGAAAGAATATCTGGCCGAATACGAATTATAAACATTTTGTTGGATATGAGGTTCACGCAGCCGTGTCTATGAACAGTGCTGTCTTCTGTGATGTGACGCCGCGTAGAAGTTCAGTGATGTTTCGGAGAAATATGCTCTCTCTATGTTTAGAGCTGAAGAGTAAACCAAGTACGAAACTAGCAGACGGGACGCAAAGGGAAGCGAAGCTCTTCATTACACAATTTTCCCCTTTCGTAGGTCCAGAAGACAACGAAAACTGTATAAAGGTACAGGAGGGGAAGTAGCATTGCAGCCTTGGAGCGATTTAGAGTGAACAGTGTCAGATGAGTGTCTGGATTCAAAAACAGGCATGGCCTCGGTAGTGGAAACGCAAGCTACTCTTGAAAAGAATATGCTCTTATGTGTATACACACACATTGCTGACACACGTAAATCACCCTCCTGTGGAAAGAAAAAAATAATATAAGTCACGGCTCTCTCTCTTCCATCTTCGCATCTATATCTGGCACGATGGATGATATACCATTAATTCCAAGCATCACGGTTCTGAAACAAGAAGTTCTAGGAAAAACTCGTGACGTCTATATTCCAGTAAATGTTTCTAGCTCAAGAGTAAATCACTTACTTTAAATGTTAAATGGCCGGTAACTGTAGCCGAGCGGTCTAAGGCATGTACTGTCTTCGCTCGCTTGGAAACCGGGATCGTGGGTTCGAATCCCACTCAGGGCATGAATGTTAATTTGTGTGTGTGCGTTTTTATGTGTTTGTGTACAGGTAGAGGCCTTGCGACGAGCTGATCACCCGCCCAAGGAGTCATACCGAATGTGTAAGATCTAGAAAAACCGAAGTGAACGGAGAAGTTCATGGAAGTAGGCCTAGGCCCACTGGGGCTGTAATGCCAAGGAAAAAAAAGTTAAATGACGTACTGAACCGCCTTTGCATAAAATGTCTGGTAAAATCAATTTGTATTACTTTAGAATTATGAGGAGAGATGCACAATGCATACAAAATTTTAGTCGGGAAATCTGTAGTGACGAGAATACTTGGGAGTGTAAATATTGAAATCGAAACAAGATGTGAGGATGTGGACCACATTGACCTGGCTTGGGATGGCGACTATTAGTGGGCTGTTCTGAATACGGTATGGAACCTACTTGTTCCACGAGAGGTGGGATAGTTCTTGACTAGATGAGCCACTAGTAGCTTCTTAGGGACTCTGCTTCATGAGTTATGTCAGGTGATACCAATCATTAAAAGAAATCTCCTAGCAGGCATTCATGGAGGTTACTTTCCTGCTTAATAGATTTCTAGTCAGGCAGCTCTATGATTATTAGTATTATAATTATTAATTATTTTATTTTGTCAAGGGCTTGAAATACAGATTCTGTGTACTTTATAACTTAAACTACGTAGATTCTAAAGGGTTCTGACGGTGATGGATGACACACAAAATTACTGGTTTTTGGACATTTTTCCGTCTTCCGGAATTCTAGGCAATAAGGGACGCTCTAGGTAATAGATGACACGACGTTTCGGAAACTGGATCTCTTTCCGTCTTCAG